AAAGTTCTGGAGAACAATTCTGCAAGACTGTGACAGGAATGTTGTCTGGACCACAAGCTGTAGACAAGTTTAATTGAGATATGACTTTAGCAACAGAAGCTGGAGTGATTTGAATGTCTAACAATGGGTCAACCTGTTTGACTGGAATGGAAGGAAGAGAATGTCCATAAGATTCAAGAGTGGAATTAGAAGAAAAATTCTTTGCAAACAGTTCTGCCTTATCCCTGGGAGAGGTAACAAGATCAGTCCCATGAATGAGAAATGGAATGTTAGATCTACCCTTGTTAACAATGTTGTTGAAGATTTTCCAAAAATCTTTAGAGCCTAACTTCTGCGATAAGATGCGAGATTTAGTGAACTGAGAATAATGGAGTTTAGCATCAGAAAGCACCTTTTTACATCGATTTCTTGCAATAATAAATAGCCGTTTGTTCTCAAGAGAGTTGTTCTTTTGAAAAAGATGAAAAAAATGATTACGATTGGATATAGCAGCCGCACAAGAAGGAGAAAACCATGGAGTAGAATGAGGCTTGACTTGAAACCGACGAGAAGGAATAAAAGCTTCCATTCCAGCCTGAATCCAGGAGGTTACGTAGGAGGCGCATTTGTCAGCTGAGAGAGAAAAAACATCAGCCCAAGGACCATCACGAAGAAAATCACGAAAGGAATCCCAGTCAGCTTTAGGGTAGTAGTAGGTGGTGCGATGATAAGGTGAGCCCAAAAAAGAAGTGCGAGAAGAAAGATTTATAGAGATCATTGCATGGTCAGAACCACCTAAGGGAGAAAAGGGAGAAACTGAACATAAGCTAGGGTCAGAGACAAGACATAAGTCAAGGAGTGAAGGTAAATGATTAGGGTTGTCAGGAAAACGAGTCACTAAGTTAACTATCTGAGTAAGAGATTGAGAAATGCAGAAATTAAAGGCTTTAGTGCCAGCAGGATCAGTGGTGTTAGAGCCAAGCCATTCAGTGTGATGGGCATTAAAATCACCAACAACAACAATATTGGCAGAGGGGTAAAGAGAGAGGGCATGGTCAATTTGATCAGAGATAACATCTAAAAGAGTGCAATCATGGGAAGAAGGAGAACGATAAAGAACAAAGAGAAAGGTGATAGAGTGAAGAGGTGCTAGGCGAAAGCACATAAAAGAATGGACAATGGATTCGAACCTGATTTCACGACAAATAGGGGAATTAATGCGTATTTATACCCCTAAACCTAGCATGTGACTATTGGAGTCTTTACGAATCAAAGGATAGTACCCATCAACACTGACATCTGAAGAAGGAATTGCAGAACTTAAATTTGTTTCACTGAGTGCAAGCAAGTCTGGTGAATTTTGCAGGAGGTAAGACTCAACTGATGGAAAGTTGCTTCGTAGACTGCGAATATTTGTAAAAGATATATTAAAATATTCAGGTGGTGGGGATGGTTTTTTAGGTTTTAAATTTTTGGTTACTTTGGTCATGATTTGGGTTTAATGAGAACTTGACTCATTCATAGATAGAGCACAGCCTCCTAATCAATGAGCTATGCAGTTATCTCAGTCCTGTTAATTAACCCTAAGCCGTGACATAGGGCTTATGTGGCCTTGACAGTGCACACCAAAAGCATTAACAGGGACACTATCCATGCGCAACATGGCACTGTTAATACTCTGATATTTTGCAGCTGTTGATGGAATCAGCCTCTCTGAGAGCTATCACAGAGTTCGGGAAACCTTACTACCAGCCGGCCTCAGAACCATTAAACTGAGTTTTAGAGCTGTACCCTCATATGGAGATAACAGGAAGAGTTGCATAGCCATTATCAAGGAGGCATAAGCAAAATTCTATGAGTAGAGTCAAGGAGATCCAGCATTCATCATCCTAGGCAGGAAACAATGTAACACAGGTTACATCTACGCCAGCCTAATAGCATATAATAGCATATATAAAAAATATTCTATCAGTTATGAGCAATAGTAAATCGAGGAGAAATGATGAGAAGTTTGATAATATTGTTGGTAATTTATTACCTACCCAAAGCAAAGATGTGTGATCAACTACCAACAAATGGAGATGTTGTATGCCATTATCTTTATCTTACAAGATTTGATTTGAAATTAACTGGTAAAAAAGAAGTTGCATATGTCGTTTGTGAAAAAGTTAATGTTTTTTTAGAAAATGGCAGGAATTCCAACAAAGCAGAAGATATTGTTAGAATGATACTGCATATGCTTCATCTTAGAGAGAACTTGATTAAAAATACAAAAAAAAATGTTATGCAGCTCAACTTCTGAGTTTTACTAATAAACTATCATCGTTGTTTGATATTGCAGCATCAAATGCAGAAAATTTGATGAAAAACAAATATATATATATATATATATATATATATATATATATATATATATATATATATTGATACTACCTTGCGTAGTATCAATAATCAGATCTCAGATATAGGTTTTCTCTCAGATTAGCGTCACTTAAAAAAGCAAAAATTCATAATAAAAATGAAGAAAGTACTATTGCTAGACAGAAAAAAAAATCAAGATATTAGAAAACCCTAAAGTTTCTCTAATGGCTGTTAGGTTGAATTAATTCAACAGAGAAAGATCTGGGATCATTTTAGATGTAGCTGAAGCATTAGGTCACAATTTGATGAAATATCTATCTCAAAAAGCACAGCAAACAGATCAGGTAATAAAATTCGACAGCAAGTTTCAGATGGCATTAGGAAAACATTCATTTCACCCATGTACTCTTCCATTCACTGAGATTCAAAGCTGGTATCTGAAGTCGATGGTAAAGTGGAACGTTTGGCTGTTATACTAACAGGAAAACCAAGTGCACCTCAAGGGAAATTGTTGTGCCTATCCAGAATTCCTGGTACAACTGGGCGATGTCAGGCAACAGCTACCACAGATGCTTTAAAGGCATGGAAACTTGAAAAAACACTTGTGGCAATGATTTTTGACACAACTCCATCAAATTCAGGTTGGATAAATGGTTCTGCAAAGTTAATTGAAGAACACTTTCATAAAAAGCTACTTTAGTGTGCCTGCCGACACCATATTTTTGAAAGAGTTTTGTCTTCTGTTTACTTAAACATTTTTGAAGAATCTATCTCCAAATTACGAGCCATTTAGACACTTTAAAAATGAGGTATGGCCTAAATTTTTATTAACTTCAGTTACTAATTTTAGAAAAATAAAAATTAAAGAACCAGTATTAAAGACCAATAAAGCAGAACTTAAAAACCAATAAAGCAGAACTTGTCTTGTCTACCGGAAATCTCCAAAAGTATTAAGAGATGATTATCGAGAATGTTGTCAACTTGCTTTGCAATTACTTAATCCAAAACAAATAAATATACAGTGGCACATCATATATATCATATATATGTATAAATTGAGCACTCTTTTTGTAGAATACATTTTAAATTGTTTAAATATATATTAGGCTCCTTATTAACATTTGTTGAACACTCTTAATTGTATTTTAATGTTCCGTGTAAATATGGAAACTAATAATTTCACTTACTCCTTGAAAAATATACCTATACTAGATGAAAAGAGTTATATTTCTTTGATTGAAAAAGTTGAGCATTTTATAAAAAGAATTTGTTGGAAAGCGCATTTTTTCTTAAAACCAAATACAAACACAGATGATGTATTTAATAATAACCAAGATAATGATAATTATGGATTTAAAACAAAAAATACCCCACCTTTCATACCTGATTTGGAAAATTTTGCAAATGACCTATTGCATTTAATTAAAACAATAAAGTTTCGCGCTATAAAAAACAAATTTCAAACAGAACTAAAGTTAGATGGTAAAAAAATTAAATCAAACCCTAATATTTTGGTTTTTGCTGATAAAACAAATAATATTTACTAACTTACAACAGAAAACTATGAAAAAATTTTACGCGACAATATTACTAGTTCTTATGAGAAAGCCCCTAAAAATTTGGAAAATGCAATTAATTTTAAAATTAAGTATTGCTAAAAAAATAAGCCTTGATAACAGAATCGAATCAACTGTTCCTGCCCAAGCCTTTGTAACACTAAAAGACCATAAACCAAATTTTCAAAACAAACTTCCTTGTAGGTTATTGGTTCCCTCAAAAATTAAATTTGCAACAGTGGAAAAATACCACTGATGTTATAAATTGGTTCTCCATAATCGATAATAAAAATGACTGGACATTAATATCAAATAAAATTAAATCATTAATATCAAATTGTATTCAATTTGATATTAATGATTTTTACCCCTCAATAACTGCAGATATTTTAGATAAAACAATTGAATTTGCAAAAAGCCACACAGTTATTCCTGAAGAAACAATTCGCATAATAAAACATTGTAGAAAAACCTTACTTTATTTTAATAAGGAAACTTGAAAAAAGAAAAACATACATAACTGCTTTGATGTAACAATGGGCAGTTATGATGGAGCAGAAATTTGTGACTTTGTTTGATTATATATTTTAGATTTATTATTTTTAATATATATTTATATATATATACATATATATATATATATATATATATATATATATATATATATATATATATATATATATATATATATATATATATATATATATATATATATATATATATATTCACTATTATTAAAGAGCCTTAATAATAACTTAATCCAATATAAAATCAGTTTAAAAACATGATAATATTGTTTATATATATTAATTTGTTACACTTATATATAGGCCACATGTATGTATGTATTGGAATTTATAAAAAGACTAAAAAACATGTTTAAATTTGATATAAAAAATGTGTAATAGTTAAAACATGTTTTGTAAATGTGTAATAAAATAAAACATGTTTAGAAAAAATGTTTGAAATCAGATAGTTTTATCCTTGTTGGCTTTGTAATTGTAATTCTACTTATAACTGCACAACTTGCCTACAGTGACAATAAATATGTAGAATATATATTATATTAGTTTAAACATTTCATATTTTAACATATTTTTTTAGAATAAGCTATGCATTTTTTGCATGACTTTACAATGCAGTGGTTGTCCTCTACAGTTGTGTGATAAAATAAGAATCAGTGAACAATATTATATGATCGTTTTTATTGATTCAAAAGTGGTATACAATTGTTTGTTTTATTTTCTTCTTATATATATATATATATATATATATATATATATATATATATATATATATATATATATATATATATATATATATATATATATATATATATATATCTATGTGTGTGTGCGTGTGTGTGTGTGTGTGTGTGTGTATGTGTGTGTGTGTGTGTGCTGTAACAAAGAATCACTGGAAGTGAATTTTGAACATCAATCTTGAAACTTTCTATTTTTCTATTTTTACATGATTTAGTTTCCGTTAAATTTTGGTTTCCTTAAATTGTAATAAAGAAATAAGTTAATATTTAGACTATAGAAGAAGTTGATGACATATCTGTGACTGAAAATGAACCTTTAAATGTTATCTCTCTTAATGAGTGTCTCAGAAGTTTTACTTGCAAGTAAGTAAAAATAAATCTTTAATTTTTGAAAAAAATATCTTTTGTATTTTTCCATTTTTTCTGCTGATATAATTACATATAATTGCTGAGTTATAAGAATATGTTTTTAGAAAAGAAAAGAACTTGTGTCAAGCTTGTTTTCAGTTGTCATGGAAACCTTCTGAAATGATTGTTTTAAAATCACCTGCTGTTCTTATAATTCAAATATCTAAGTAGTTTATTTTTTAAATATTTAAACAAAAATTAAATTTAGTTCATTAATATATATATATATATATATATATATATATATATATATATATATATATATATATATATATATATATATATATATATATATATATATATATATATACATATATACAACCCTCGAAATTAGGGTAGGCATTCAGCAATCCCAACCTAAAAGTGTTTGAGGTTGGAAAAATATTGCTGACCTCGTTTCTATGTTATATGTAAGACCTTGGTATCAAATTTATTTTGCTGACCTCTAAAAGATTGAGGTAGGCAAATTGTTACCAACCTCATTTTTCCTCATTCCAAGGGTTGTATATATATATATATATATATATATATATATATATATATATATATATATATATATATATATATATATATATATACATATATATATATATATATATATATATATATATATATATATATATATATATATATATATATATATATATATATATATATATATATATATACATATATATATATATATATATATATATATATATATATATATATATATATATATATATATATATATATATATATATATATATATATATATATATATATATATATGTATATATATATATGTATATATATATATGTATATATATATATATGTATATGTATATATATATATATATATATATATATATATATATATATATATATATATATATATATGTATATGTATATATATATGAGGTTCAATTAAAAAAGTACAAAGTTTAATTTTTTGAAGGATGATGGGAAGTGGATCCCTTAACTCTATTTTATTTATTTAGTAAAATATTTGAATTTGATTTTTTGTATATTTAATAGTGATGACAAACCTGTCATAGGAGAGGGGAGATGTCATTGACATCCCCTACTCCTCTATGACCAGTCAATTCATCAGTTGCCCTCTTTATTGCTTTTTGTGAGGATTTTAACATGTAATTCTAATTGTATTATACGTTAATATTACAATTAGAATTATGGTAGCATGATTACTAATAAATCCATGGAAACAAAGTTTGACATAAATAATTTATGTTTAATCTCCGCTATCGAATGTAGAAAGTAGAAATTTGTTTTTGTATCTACACTTCGAAATTATTTCGCTCCTTGTATTTAGTCGGTTTTCTCTATTTTATAATAAATTTTAATACTTTTTATTCAAACAGAGATCCCAAGTTTTTGGTACTGGATTGTATGGTTTGTATTGTTTAATAATTTTTCATTTTATTGAAGTCTTTATTTTTTAATTGCCATACTTTCTTCGATAACTCTGTATCATTCCTATATTATAGACCATTATTACTATACCATATACCTATACTACTACAGCACTGTACTCAAAGTTGTCCACAGATTAAACTTTGTCAAGATTAAACTTACTCAATGAAAAATATCTCTATACCATAAGAGAAAGAATTTCATATTGCAACAATAACTAGCAAAGACTGTAACACTTATAAACCAATGAGGTGGATTGTTTTTTATCAACAAGCAATCTGATCAAAATGATTTTTTGCCTGAGTGTTTTATGAGGTGTTAACTATTTTAAAACCATGGAACACAGTTGCAGATGAAGTTTTGATGTTCTGGCTTAAAGCTAATATTCCAACTATCAATATCAAAACAACAAGATAAAAAATTCCTTATAGACCAGCAAGATCCCTAAAAATATCAATGAAATCACTTGAAATATAAGCAAGTAGTTGTTAAAAATAGAAAACGCAAGTTTGAATAAAAATGTTGTTGTTGCCTTTAATGACAACAACAAATTTATCTACAGAACCAATATTAATTATTCAAATAACTCTTTCTTCTAATAATACATCAATTCAAACATAAAAAGTCGTTACTTGTACAAAACGTTACAACATTCTGATTTAGGAACTAGTCTACTATCAGTTACAATGTCCAAATGTTGTATTCTTGACAATCAACTCTTCAATGCAGCATTAGACCAAATCAAAACAACTCCGTGACAAGCAATGATTATTATCATACCAGCCCTAGCTTAAATTGGTAGTGATATAAAACAAAAAATATTTTTAAAATTTCTCTACATCCTATGAAACTACATTCTGTGAAACTCATGCATTAGTTGTAAGGAGCAGTATAAATCATTGGCTCCACTAGTTGCTCATTTTAATGTTAAAGTTTTGCCGTATATATTGATGGAACCAAGTGTAAATGTCTGTTGTATCTAGCTTGGATATTAGGAGATTATTAGGGACCCATGAGATACCTATTGGAACTGGTTTTTTGATGTGACAGAATAAGTTAAGTTTATTTGTGAGTGTTCTGACATCGAGAAGCAAATTACAGGCCTTTACTTTGACCCCATTGCCCATAATGCAGGAAATTATAATAGAAAAATCACTGTTATACCAAAGTCAATAAAAGTTAAAAAGAGTGGCTTGTGCTTTAAAAACCCATTGTGATGAAAAATTTAACAACCTAAGGTTAGAGACAAGGCAAATCATAGAGTGAAGGTAAGTGATCAGGCTTGTCTGGAAAATTAGTCACAAAGTTAACCAAGATATTGAGAAAGAGGATTGAAACCTGATTTCCTGAAAAATAGGTGAATTGATGCATAAATTACATAAATGCACCCAAGTCAAGCATGTGAATAATGGAGTCAAAGAATAGTAGCCGTCAGTACTGAGATCTGAGATCTGAACAGCCAACTGTAAATTAGTCTCACAAAGAGCTAACAAGTCTGATGAATTTTGTGTGTTAGGTCAGACTTCAAACACAGCGTAAATTTTGTGAAAGATAAAAGTGATTTTTTATGTTTAATATTTTCAGTTACTTTGGGTTTAAGTTAAAGAAAACTTTAATTATTCATAGATAGAGCAATCCCAAGCAGTGAGCTGTGCAGTTATCTCAGTCCTGCTAATTAATTCAATAATTCACACCAAAAGCATTAACAAGGACACCATCCATGCACAACAATGCACTGTTAATACTCTGACATTTTACAGCTGTTGATGAAATCAATCTTTCTGAGAGCTACCATAGAATTTGGAAAACCTTAATACCAGCCAATCTCAGAACCATTCAGCTGAGTTTTAGAGCTATACCCTCATTAGGAGATAACAGAAAGAATTGCATTGCCACTATCAAGGAGGCACAAGTAAAAATCTATGAGTAGAATCAAGAAGATCCAGTATTCATTGTCCATGGCAGGAAATAATGTACTACAGGTTTACATCTATGCTATAATAAGTAAATATATATATCTATAATAAGTAAAAAAAGGTTGTGAGGGCGTTCAACAGAATGTTTCTGCTTACCCCTAAATTTTATGCCATGTAGGCCTTCTAAAAGACAGTAGCTGGATGCAGTTAACATCTGTCTAAAATGAGTATTTTTATCAAAACACTATCTCTAGCCTTTATTTTTTCAGGCAAGAGCTCTAAAGCTGGGGTATTTTAAGTAGGAATTTTTTTTTCCTAGTCTTTGCAAAAAAATTAATCCCTACAAAAAAAGCTTGACATGAGGCAGGTAGTACTGGGTTACCAGTAGCAGGGTGATCCTGAAACTGACCTGAATTGGAGTTGTTAAAAGAAGTTACTTTCTTTCAAGCTGTTAAAACAATGAACAGGGTATTTTGCAAATGCATTAGAAAAAACATTACATCAGTTTAATCTTTATTTGTCCTATTTTTTGTTATAACGATACTTTGATTTCTTACTGAACTTTTTTTTATTTTCATATTGTGAAGTGTGGGTCATTTACTTTATAAAATATTGTAAGATGAATGTTTTTATGAAATTAGCTTAATTTGAATATATGGATTTATTTGAATCAAATCTTGAATCACTTTTCTGATTTGGTATATATATATATATATATATATATATATATATATATATATATATATATATATATATATATATATATATATATTATACATTTATTTATTAAATATAATTTGTTTTTATTCAAATTAAATAAATATAATATATAAATAATTTAATTTTTCAAAAATGGAATAAGTTTTTGATAATAAATTTAGAGATTTATGCATTTTTTTATTTAAGCCTATGTGAACACAAGCTGTTGTACCAAAATGAAATTCTATGGCCGATGTATAATAAACAGTCATCAAATCAAATGTTTTCATTATCAAGTCTTGTCATTGATGATACAGGTAGTTTATTATATGGAATACCTAATTACCTATGTAATAACTTATATAGGTAGTTACGCAATCCAAGCATCCATATACTTTTTTTAATTTTAATGTCTAAACATATAAATACTACTTATACAATTATACATTTCTATAGTTACATAAATTATTTATAGTTATAGTTACATAAATTATTTATAGTTATAGTTACATAAATTACATCACTTTGCCTAAGCTGTACATTGATTTGTACATAAGTTTCACAAGTTTTATATATACTTTATTTTAGTTTATACTAAATGGGGGGAAAAAATGATGAAATTTAAAATCCGTCACTTGACTTAATGCAACTAGATGTTGTTTTTTTTATAAGCATAACGTTTAAAGCATATATAAGCATATTCCTGAGCCTCGATAAACCATTTAAAAAATTCAAATTTTATTTATTTTATTATTTCATTTATTTTAAATTTTTTTCATTTTAATATTTCATTGATAACATTTGTATATAGTATATATTTTTTATTTTTTATTATACTGTACTAAAGTTGACTTTTTATTTTTCTTATAACCATTAACCTTTAGTAACGCATGCATTTTTAGAAAGTATTGAAATAAGCATATTTTATTATAAATATGCTTAAGTTTAAGCATATTTTTGAGCCTCTTTTAACTTTTTGCTTAAGCATAGCAAGCCTGTTTCAAAAATTTCATATGCTTATAAAAAAACAAACATGTATTTGTTTTATTTTATTAAATATAGTTACTGAGAAACATTAGGAAAATTTATCAAAATTTTTTACATTTTGCTCTCTTGTATTTTAAAATTGTCTTTTTAAGGCAAGAATTGGAGTGAAATTACTGCACAGTGAAATATAACAATCCCTCTAAAATAAAATACCACTCTTCTTTGTTTTATGTTAACTTGAATTTTAGATAGCGGTTGCTTGCAGCCTTATTGGAAGTGAACTTGTTTATGTCAACCATAAATTGGATCATCAAGCTTTATTAAGTTTGACATTTTAATCAATTAGTTTTATGATAAACTCCATTTGTTTTGAGGATGCAGTGTGTCAAAGCAAAAACAAAGCTATGCTCACAATGATGAATACTATTGTGTGTAAACATAAAATAAAATTGAATAGATTTTCCCAGTGAGAAGACACTCTTATATGCCTCCAGATAGAGCATTTAGAAGAGTAGAACAGATTTTGAAAAAAATTGAAACAATAATTCAACCCTAAAGAGTACTTTGAAGTTTTTAAAACAGTCAGTCAGTTACATGAAATTAGAGGTTGGAAAGTGTATGATTAGAAAGGTTTGCCATTAAAACAAAACAAACATTTAAATTTTTAAAAGTTAACCAAACGGTTAATTATACTAAACAAAAAAAATCAAGTGTTATTAAATAAATATTCTAGTTAATATTTTAGTCAATATTTTTAGTCAAATAGCTGAACTTTCTTGTTAAAGTAATAATGTAAAACTATGTGATATCAAAAAATTGAATATAAATATGGAAATTAATAAGATTCACAAAGCATTTAAGTTTTACAAAATAGTTGAGGAGATTTTCAGTTTTCCATACCATTCAAAACAGTTTTCCATCTAAAAATTATAAGAACAAATTCGACCTCAGACTTCCAGATTCATATCTAAACAAATTTTATTAAAACAAAGGCCAAAAATTTCATTTGCATTTATGATAGAAATAGGTAATTATTTAGCTTCATAGAAAATGCTTCTTTAAAATTCTCATATGAAAATTTCTCCATTAGCACAAGATAATTCATTTTTTGCTTTATTACAAATTCTGCAAAAACACTTTTTCAAATAACCAATTATAGTAATATAAGATCTCACTAAAACAGAAATTACTCTATCTAATAACTCTCTTGCTTCGAGATTTAAAAGATTTTCTGACATAAGTGGTTCCAACCATGGCATTCATTTTCATAATTGATTAATAATTTGAAAAACTCAGTTAATACTTCCACTACAATTTTATTAGTTTCTGTCTTTTCACAGACTTACAAAACAAATGTAGTTGAGGTTGAAGAAAAACAATAGAAGTTCAACGGCTGTAAGTTTTGCTTCATCGTTAGTTAAATCTTAGTTAAAGCAAAAAAAAATGTTTCTAACTTTATTTTGTAGAAACTGATTTTTTATATATTTTTAAATTGTTGAACCATATAACTATCAATTGTAAAAACTGTTGTGTTTTATGTGTGTAGAGAAAAATTTATATTGATCACTTTTCAATGGTTGGCAAATGCCAATGTTTCTTAAAATCTTAAAATTTGCACTTCCTTCAAGATATACAAAAAAGCAGATTTTAAAAATTAAAGAGCAAAAAATTGTCCTTCTATAAATAAAGTAGATAATGTAGAAATAATATAAAACTAGCTGACCGGACCCATAAAAATGTGTGTCTTTGTAAATCTGTTCCACACTAACCTTTTCTATACTTTTTAAGACCTGTATTTTATGACCTGTATTTTACAGCTACTGGCAGCTAGGATATAATCTATATATAAGATAAGTGAAATATACTAGGATATACTCTATAAATAAGATAAGTGAAAGTAGTTATTACCCAAAATATATATATATTTATCTTCATTCAAAAAAAAGAACATATAAAAGTAATTTCAACAAACAAAGTTTTTGTTTTATAAAACTATTTAAAAACAAAAAATTTTATTTTACAAATACAAAAAAAAAATTATAAAATTTTAATTTGAACTGACAAATTTGAGTAAAGCTTCATTCTGTAGTCTTGAGTATATTTACAGAATAAATCTGAAATTCAAATAATTTTGTAATTTTTATTCTATTTTTAGAACATACTTCGTTTATTAAACATAAAAGAACTAATGAAAAGATAGTTGATGAAAATATTTGGATCAAACATTCAATAAATGATTCCCTGGTCAGTTATTAATTAATATTAACAAGATAATTTCATTTTGTAATTTTTTACTGGTGTGAATGGATAATATTTTAACATCTTTAGTTTTGCATTTTGTTCACTGAACTACTAAAGTGCTTGTTTTCTAGTTAAAAATACAAGAAATTTTTTTTTTCCACTTGACACTGTATTTCATTTTATTTACATCTCTTAAGATATTGTCTACTCAGATTAAATACAGTGAGATTTTGAAAAAGTGTGGTATCTTAGTTTCAAAGTTATTTCAGTTGTACATCAAACTTTTTTTTTATCAAATTTATTTTCATTTGTTTACTACTTCAGCTGGAAGTTGTTAGGGAAATGACACAAGAACTTGTCATAAAGGCCAAGGTTGTATACTATATACTAAAACAACTGTATACTAAAAAGTTAATACTAGTTTTGTATATGATTCTGCATTTATTTTTTGTTTTTAGTGGTTGATGAGCTTTGAACAGTTTTTGTTAAATATTTACTGCAAATGTTTTCAAAAAATACAGTATGGTTCATGATCTGAAATCAAGACTAAGCATTTATCATTTATAGTTATAGAAATATGATTATTTTAATAATGCTAGCAAAAATTAATTATTTTAATTTGTTTTTTGAGATTTATTTGAGTAAAAACTTAATATTTAAATTTGATATTTAAATATAAGACAATGCAACATGTTGTATCTTTTTTTAAACATTTATTGTTTTTTTGAATTTTAAACATAGTTCTCCTGGTTGATATGGTTTGTAGTTTTAAGGTCTTCTCTGAACCATCATTTTTAAAGTCTTCTCTGAACCACCATTTTACTACTTCTTTATCGTAATTTCCATCCAAATGTGAATGAAGTAAATTAAATTAAAGTGTGAATGAAGTATTATTGAAAGGGAATTTTGTTAAAAGAAATAAATTTAAATTGTTTTTAAAAAGCGAGTGCAGGAAAAAACAGTTTCAGAAGCATTGACTTAATAGAGTTTTTGTTTATTTTTTCTAGGTTGTAACTTCATTGCCATCATCTAAAATAGAGTTATTGTTTTATATCAAAAATCAAGGTAAGTACTGCATTAACTTTCATTTTACATTTTGAAACTTTTGTCACAATATTGATTTAATACATTGAAAATTTGAAAATTGTTAGTTGAAATCAAAAAAGTTCTTAGTTGTTGTTTCTTGAAATAAAATTTTTTTTTGACCAATATTGTAAAAAATTAGCCAGTTACTATTTTTGACAGTTTTACTTGAAAAATGATGTAATCAAAAATTTTAAAATACGATATATTTGTTGAGTATCTTGCACAGTATATTACACAATACTTCACTTTTGACAAAAATAGTAAATTGAAAGTTTTGTAAAGGTTTCTAGATCCAAAAAGCAAGCAGTTTTTTTAATAGATCAATCTGATAAAACTTTTGTGGAAATGCAGTACAAAACAATTTCTCATTGAACTCATTGTAATGAGAATGGTCTATTATATCAAATAATGTTTCCTGATAGCACAATTGCTAAGTCCTTTATGATGGGAAGAAAAAAAACCTGGTTAATAATTTTGGTCTTTGGCATTGTTTACACATACTTTTAACACAAAATATCAAGAAATCTACTTTTTATCTCTTTTCATTTGATGAACACCTGAATGATTCTTTTCAAAATTGTAAAATGGATCTAAATATTAGTTTTTTCCAATTTGTATTCAACAGTGAATATATTGTGTTAAATACAAATATTTTGAATCTTATTTTTCAGGCTACTCCACTGCAAAAAAATTATTTAAAAAAAAAAATTAACAATTATGTGCATAAATCTGGCAAAACTGTGTAGGGATGGCCCCAGAGTAAACTAGTTACTTCTTGATCTTACGAGAATAAACTAGTTACTTCTTGATCTTACGAGAATAAACTAGTTACTTCTTGATCTTACGAGAATAAACTAGTTACTTCTTGATCTTACGAGAATAAACTAGTTACTTCTTGATCTTACGAGAATAAACTAGTTACTTCTTGATCTTACGAGAATAAACTAGTTACTTCTTAATCTTACGAGAATAAACTAGTTACTTCTTGATCTTACGAGAATAAACTAGTTACTTCTTGATCTTACGAGAATAAACTAGTTACTTCTTGATCTTACGAGAATAAACTAGTTACTTCTTGATCTTACGAGAATAAACTAGTTACTTCTTGATCTTACGAGAATAAACTAGTTACTTCTTGATCTTACGAGAATAAACTAGTTACTTCTTGATCTTACGAGAATAAACTAGTTACTTCTTGATCTTACGAGAATAAACTAGTTACTTCTTGATCTTACAAGAATAAACTAGTTACTTCTTGATCTTACGAGAATAAACTAGTTACTTCTTGATCTTACGAGAATAAACTAGTTACTTCTTGATCTTACGAGAATAAACTAGTTACTTCTTGATCTTACGAGAATAAACTAGTTACTTCTTGATCTTACGAGAATAAACTAGTTACTTCTTGATCTTACGAGAATAAACTAGTTACTTCTTGATTTTACGAGAATAAACTAGTTACTTCTTGATCTTACGAGAATAAACTAGTTACTTCTTGATTTTACGAGAATAAACTAGTTACTTCTTGATCTTACGAGAATAAACTAGTTACTTCTTGATCTTACGAGAATAAACTAGTTACTTCTTGATTTTACGAGAATAAACTAGTTACTTCTTGATTTTACGAGAATAAACTAGTTACTTCTTGATCTTACGAGAATAAACTAGTTACTTCTTGATCTTACGAGAATAAACTAGTTACTTCTTGATCTTACGAGAATAAACTAGTTACTTCTTGATCTTATGAGAATAAACTAGTTACTTCTTGATCTTACGAGAATAAACTAGTTACTTCTTGATCTTACGAGAATAAACTAGTTACTTCTTGATATTACGAGAATAAACTAGTTACTTCTTGATCTTACGAGAATAAACTAGTTACTTCTTGATCTTACGAGAATAAACTAGTTACTTCTTGATCTTACGAGAATAAACTAGTTACTTCTTGATCTTACGAGAATAAACTAGTTACTTCTTGATCTTACGAGAATAAACTAGTTACTTCTTGATCTTACGAGAATAAACTAGTTACTTCTTGATCTTACGAGAATAAACTAGTTACTTCTTGATCTTACGAGAATAAACTAGTTACTTCTTGATCTTACGAGAATAAACTAGTTACTTCTTGATCTTACGAGAGTAAACTAGTTACTTCTTGATCTTACGAGAATAAACTAGTTACTTCTTGATCTTACGAGAATAAACTAGGTACTTCTTGATCTTACGAGAATAAACTAGTTACTTCTTGATCTTACGAGAATAAACTAGTTACTTCTTGATCTTACGAGAATAAACTAGTTACTTCTTGATCTTACGAGAATAAACTAGTTACTTCTTGATCTTAAGAGAATAAACTAGTTACTTCTTGATCTTACGAGAATAAACTTGTTACTTCTTGATTTTACGAGAATAGAGCTATCTTAACTTCTTAAAATTTAAGAGTTGCAAACTCTTAAATTTTAAGAAGTTAAAATTTTCTTACTCCAGACTTTTTGATCTTTGACCCAGCGTAATGAGTTGGGTCAAAGACCCAGTAGCAGGTCTTTCGTGTTGTAAGCAACCAAAATGCAAGAATTATGAGAGTCTTAGAGGGAACTCAAGTTAATTTAACGTTCACATTGAACAGTTGAACTCTTTTAGTTATGTTGCTAGTTTGTTGCAGAAATTCTTAGTGACATCATCAGTGCCATCACAGACAGACACCTAAAGATAATTACATATCTTTAAAGATTTGTTTTCAACTGTTTTTAAACTGTTTAAGCTAGTTATTTAAAATATTTGAAACGTTAATTTTATGAGCTTTTATTTAGATAAATTTTGACATTCTTTAAGTTTAATATTAGTTTTTTTAAATTTATTTCAAAGATCAATTTGCTAATTTCAACTGTTTTTTTTAAATGATATTTTACGAAGTGTTTGATTATTTATTTTTATTATCAACAAATTATTGGTTTTCTATATAAAACTGAAATATAAAAATTACTTGTTAATGGAAAGTGATCTGATTTCTTTGGGAAGGAGTAAAAATAGTTTTCAAGTATAAATGATAAAAATATCAAGAGAAAATAGCAAAATTTTATTGAAAAAATCAGGGAAAATCAGGAAATTTTATTCTAGAATTATTAGTGGCAACCCTGACCTTAATCATTTATAAATGAAGCTTTTTTATTAATTTATATTTGTTTACAATATCATTGGTGAAAAAAATGAATGTGAAAAACTTTAGTATGTTTAGAAAGAAACTGGAATTTTAAATTAAAACTATTTTTTTAAATTTTATATCATTGTTGTATTATTATAGGATCAGTTTAGCATCATGACCTGGACAAATTATTTACAAATATATCTAAATTAAATAAACCTAAGATTTTTACCCCAATATATTACCCCTAAAATACCCCATTTATCTACTACTAGCCATGCACAAAAAATAATAATTGTATAATTAATAATATTTAAATGTGATTTTGTTACACAAATTTTCACATTGAATATTGATAAGTGTTATTTATTTTCATATTGATAAGTGTTATTCATTTTCATATTGATAAGTGTTATTCATTTTCATTGTAATAGTAGTTATTAGAGAGTCTAGTAGCAATTATTAGAGGGTGTAGTATCATCTATTTAGAAGATGTAGTGTTCATTTAGAAGATGAATACTACATTCTCTGATGATGAGAAGGTACAACTATATCTTCAAATATGATAAAATGTAATATCTGTTATCTAAATTTATAGTTCAAAACTTCTTAAATTATTTATTTTCAATTAGTTTTCTTATTTTTAGTTTAAAACTTTTTCAGAACTAAAGTTATTTTAATTTTATTAGTCTAACTGATTTTTTTTTTTTTTTACAGAAAATATTGTTCAAAAACCTTCAAATCAAGCAAATATTTTGAAAATAAAAAAACAGAAGACAGACAATTCAGTTAGATTTTACTATTTTTAACTATTTTTTTTTTTAATATAGTTTTATTACAACAATGCTTTTTTACTTAAATATGTTAAATATATTTTATGTATTTAAATATATTAAATATGTTTAATGTAATTAAATTTTTTAATGTATTTAAATATTGATTTAAATGATTTAATCAAATAAGTTGAAATGAAATTATTAATGCTTTAGATTGTAGATAGAATTACTAAAGAAGAGAATTTTGTGAACAAAAAATCTCTTAGATCTGGTACTTTGTCTTTGTCCTTTTTTATTATACTTTTGTTTTACATATTTTAACATGAATTAATTTTTAATATTAGTCGAGTCTTGTGGTAGTTGCTCATTTAAAAGCTGTTATTCAAAAAATACTTTATCTTTATGCAACTGTAAACGCTGTAAATGTTTAGAGCAGATGCATCATAAGGTAAAAATAACAATAATAATATAGTAATGTAATTCATTTATCATATTTGAGAGGTTTAGATTTTAAGTCAAGTCTTATACTTACCTCTTGCAAAAGTTTTGTCAGACAAATGCGTTTTTATTTATAAACAGATCATTCATTCTCGAAGTTCATTAAATACATTTGGTACTGTAGATGTTTCAGCTGATGATGATGCTGTTGAAATTATAAAAGATAATAGTGTTGAGAAATCAGAAAGGTTACAGTCTTTGCACAATTTTAAAAATAAATTTGTTTAGAATATTTAATAGAATAATTGGTATACAATTTTATTTTATATTATTGCATATTCAGCAGTTTTCACTTGGTCAATATGCTGCATCAAGCTATTCGAAAACAAAATTTGCGGTATGTGAAACTTTTCTTGTTGTTTGATTCATGTTTTATGGTTTGATGTTGAATGGTTTTTCTATAAACATTTTTAAACTTTAGTAATGCAGTTCAACATTTCAAAGATCAAGCAGATGTCAACTATCTTCATAGAGGTGTTGCGGCTATTCATCTTAGTGCAGGTCTATATTTTTGTACTTGTTTTATAATTAAATATTTTATAGTTAAATATTTGAACAGGTGAAGTTTAACATTTTGAACAGGTGGAGTTAAATATTTTTTTTATGTTGACTGTCCTCTTTTTATTATTTGGAAAAGTGACTAAAATTTGAGGCCAAGGTTTGCCACGTTTTTAACAAATTATTGCTATATTTTTAAAAAAGATTTAAAAAAATTAAATATATGACTTGAAAAAAAAAAAAATTTGGGTTATTTAATTAATTTATGTGCTTTTTTATTATATACATGTTTGCAAAAAGTACATGTTTTTACTTGTTATATTAATGAGTTTAAAGGTAAAAAAAAGTTTCATGAGTTTAAAACTTTTTATCTTAAGATTCAGTTATAAAGATTTTTATTCTTTGATGAACATTTTTAAAAGAGAATGGTCAACAAAGTTTTCTATTCAGAGCACCAGTTTTTATTTCTTTTTGTTAGCAAAACAAGCTTTTTTTAAGGATTCAGTTTATTATTTATACCATTTACATGAAATTTTTTCTTACTTTCAGAATATTCTGAAAGAAAATTCTGAAAGAAAATTTCAGAGTTACTTTTTTTTTTATTTCTAATCCATTTTATACACTGTTTTGTTTTTTAAAATACACTGTTTTATAAAAATTTACTGTTTTATGAAAAACTCAAAGTTCTATAAACATTTATTGATTACATATGATATTGATTACACTTCACAATTCAAAAATAACAAAAGAAAAAGTAACTTTAACTTATTCTTTTACATTAAAATTCTTCATGTAAAAAAAAAAATAGTATATTATTTACAGCATATTCAAATTTTTATAAACTTTTTCCAAAAGCATTAACAAAATCAGCTCAATCGTCTTTCATCAATGTTGACTCAGAAATTAAAAAAAAAAAAAAACAATTTGAGTCATATGCATTTGATTGCGCCATTTAATGCAAATGCAATGTATGCAAAGGTATTATCTAATTCAAAAACACTTGCAAATTGTTAATACACTTGGCATAACTTCTTTTTTTTTTTTACTTCTTTATAAGAGCTAACTCAGATGATAGGTGACTCAATTTTATGGTTCAGAAGCTAACTTGTTGGAGGTTGAATTAAACTATGTTTAGAAAAATATTATTTTAGTAAAAAATAAACTTTATTTAATAAATAGTTTTTAACATAATAATCTATTTTTGAAAATGAACTATATATAACACTGGCCAACAAAGATTTTGCGGCAAAACATTTGGGGGTCATTTTATAGGTAACTTGTTGCCCTGATTCCGAATATTACCTCTGTTTTCCTAGATTGGCTCTAGTTTTTGAGATACAGGGTGGTCACGAAAGTACATTAATAGCAACAATTTATGTTAGGTTGTTGCGTAATTCACAAAAAAAACACTAGATATATATATCAAATTGTTTATGGGGAAGTACATACAATGCTAATAGATCAAAACATTCAAATCAGTACAATGAAATCACAATTAATGCATTAAAAATCGGTGTCTATATGATTGTCTTTTGTGTGGAGAATGTGGACAATCATGTTGAAGGCTCCAACAATAGTCAGCCATCATGTGTGTATCCAATCTTCCTTGGTATCTTTTTTCCATTACCTTGATATCTTGATGGAACCTCTCCCCTTGTTCCTCACTATAACTTCCTAGATTATCGGGAAACCGATCTAAGTGACTATGTAGAAAGTGAACTTTTATACTCATATTAGCTTTCAATGTTTTGAAGTCTGAAAGCATTTTCTGTACGATTTCTTCATAGTTGGGAGATTTATGGTTGCCCAAAAAGTTATGAACAACCAAGACAAAACTTTTCCAGGCAGATGCTTCAATATCTGTCATTGTATATAGGAACTGCTCATCCTTGATGATTTGGCGAATTTGAGGGCCGCTAAAGATTCCAGCTTTGATTTTCTCCATACTCAAGCCTGGAAAAAATCTGCAAATATATTTGAAACATTGACCATCTTTGTCTAGGGCTCTTACAAATTGCTTCATCAGTCCTAGTTTGATGTGGAGTGGTGGGAAAATAATTTTCCCCCTGTCTACCAGTGGTTCGTTAATGGTATTTGATGCACCTACAGTCATATTTTCCCTAGCAGGCCATACCACCTTTTTCCAGTGGTCTTCTTTAGCCCTACTATCCCACAAACATATGAAGCAAGGGTACTTAGTATATTCACTTTGCTGCCCTAGTAAGAAGTTTACCATCTTTAAATCAACACATATAGACCACTGGTGCTCATTGTATCTAAGCTTCTGCAACATCATTCTTATATTTTCATATTCCTCTTTCAGTTTTGTTGAGTGAAGTATTGGGATGGATGCATAACTATTGCTATTGTGCAATAAAACACACTTCAAACTTCTCATCGAACTATCTATAAACAATCGCCAATCTTCTGGTCGGTATTCAGGTAACCCCATTTGGAGGAGGAGTCCAGGGATGTTCCTACAGTATACTATTTTTTCTTCTTGAATGAAATATGGAAGAAGTGCTGCCTCTCTTGTCCGAAAAAAAGTTATTTTACATTCGGCCTTCAAACTGTTCTTTTCACTTAGTCTAGATGCTAAAAGCTCAGAATCTTGCTTGGATAGACTTAAGTCTCGTACTAAATCATTGATCTCTTCCTGGGAGAACTGTTGCTGTTTAGAAGTACTGCCTTCATATTCACTACCACTACCTGCATGTTCGCACACTAAATTCTGCATATCTTCTTCATCAGACACTGTTAGATTAACCAAACAAAAATAACAGTCACTGTCGTGATTCTTTTGCTCCCGCCATACCATAGGCACACCAAATTTTAAACCTTTTCTTTGTCCATTTTTCACTGACGTAGATTTTCGACACACGTTTTACATACAATATGGGGAGCCCAAGACTTATTTTGGTCTCCGAGTTTCATTCCAAAGTATGCCAGATATGCTTGCTTCACAAAGTTAGTAATATTTCTTCTTTGGCTCTCCTGGCAATATTCACCACAGATGTGGCAGAATGCATTGGGGTTATTCAAACATCCTCTTCGTGAAGAACTCATTGTGTTCTAAAAACAGGAAAAAGTATATATATATATATATATATATATATATATATATATATATATATATATATATATATATATATATATATATATATATATATATATATATATATATATATATAAAGGTATGCCCTTTAAAAAGAAATAAAACTATTTTACTGTAAAATATGCATGAACGAAGATATTTGTATAAGAATATATCTGGAACACCCTGTATCTCAAGAACTAGAGCCAATCGTGGAAAACTAATGTCATTTCTGAAATCAGCACACCCGATATACTATAAATTCGTAAAAATATCCTCGGCAGCAAAAAAAAAAAAATTTTTTTGTTGGCCAGTGTAATCATAGAGCAAAATGCTCATTCAAAAATGCAATATATATTTCTGAGTTGATTTTTATCCCTCTGGAACAAAAAATAGAGGAGTTTTAAATCCATCAGAGCAGATCCATACCAAAACAATAACCCCTGCAGGGTGCTGTATTTTTAGAATGGTTCTTTCTTTAACTGGGATGTCTCTTCTGGACTTTTCAATAATCTTGTCATTGTGTTGAACAGATTTTTTTATCTGTATAAACCACAGAAATGTTGTGAGCTTGGAGGAAATCCAACAAAATGCATGCTAGTTTTTTCAATTTTTCACTTGTTGCTTTACTCAGGAGCAGTTGTTTTTTTTTTTAAAAAAAACTTTTTAGGTCTAAATCTTTGTAGATAAGTCTTAGCATCGATTGTCTTGAAGTTCCGGTTTCTCTAGCAAGCTTTGAAATTCAGGGTTTTGAATTACCTCACAACTTACAATCAACTGCATTTACAAATTTTTTGGTTCTTTTAGTTCGTTTTTGACCAACTTTTTTCCAAAAACACTCTTGTCTTTGAAAATCTATGACTTTGTAGTTTTTCAGAACCCTCAACAACCTAGTTTCAAATCACCAAAGAAGCTACTTTTTTGAATGCGACATTGTCTTTTGTGGCTTCATCAGGCAGATTTTGTCAAAGTGTAATTTTATTAATGATAGAAAAGTATATTGAACATTGCTTCACAGCTGCAGATTGTTCTTTTGGGTATCTTTTGTGAACTTGAAATTAGTCTTTCCAATTTAATCAATCAAATTAAACAGTGACATTTTGATTCACTTGTAGTTTTAAGCACAGAAAACATTTCTGATGCTTATAATGAACTCATAATGAATACAGTCTCTGCATTCATTATGACTTTTTGCTTTATTTTGAAAGAAGTGATCCTATATTTTTTCGAGACAAATAATCTTTTATGTTCAGAACTACCAGCAACAAATATAAAATCACTTTACAGTTATTAAAGATAAATTTTATAGTAATTAAAAAAAAAACTTAAAATATTGAATATTATTAAAAAGTATTATATAGTATTAATTTTCTTCAGCATGAAAAATATTTTGATTTTAGGACTTTTAGGACTAGAAAAATGTGATCAATTCTAATAATGTTTGTACTCTAAAATGTTTTCAGAACAACCTTTTTTTTTTTCTCAACATCATGTTTGTCTAATATTCTTTTCAGCTAAAAGTTATCACTTAAACTTTCTACTAGGGATGGCAAAAATTCCGGCAATTTTTAATCCCGGGATTTCGAGATAAACAATTTGTACGGAATCCTGGGATTTCAGGATCCCGGGATTGCCATCCCTACTTTCTACTTTAATCTTGATTAATTTCTTTCTTTACACTTTTTGTCTCTATAATTATTGTTTAAAAAACTTTTAATTTATGAACATATTTAAATGTGTTAAATAATCTTCATATGTTTCTTAGGTATACCTTCACCTCTTGGTTGTGTATTTACTCAATTGTGCCTTGATCATGGGGCTGATCCTAACCTTAAATCATGTGATGGTATGACACCATTGCATATTGCAACAACTGGAAATCAAGCAGAGACTATCAAATTACTATTAAAAGCAGGAGGTTTTTAAATTATTAATTTGCTATAAAAACTGAAGTAAAAAAAAACACTGTCTTTTTTGAATTCTTTTTTTAACAGGCTCACCTAATACAAAGGATTTAGAAGGTCGAAGTTGTTATGATATCCTTGTTCAAGCAAACAACCAAATAAGCAGAGAACATTGTGAGCAACTTCTGAGATTATTTAGAGGAGAAGAAAACCTTGATCAGAGAATTATTGAGAAATATAAAGATATTTCTTTTTTAAATCATGGTATGGCATTTTTAGCTTTTAATTTTTATTTTTACTATGATCATGGATATGGTTAGCCAAATTAGTTACAGGCTTTTGTTGTTTTCCTTGAGTTTTAGTAGGCGTCATTCTTTCTTGAGTTTTAGTAGGCGTCATTCATTATGACTCTAAGAGCCAGTCTTAGAGTCATGTTGAATCTATCATAACATGTTATGATGTATGTTCTGTTCATTAAAAAAAAAATTTGAATAATTACATTCACACAAATCTGTTATCATTAAGGTTAGTTGTATTATGTTCTGTAAATATTTAAAATTAATAACTAAAAAAAAACGTACCACTAATAAAAATATTTTATTAATTTAAAATCAAAAACTGAAAATAAAATATTTCACTAATAAAAATAATAGTTTAAAATTATTATTTTTCATTATAATATCATTATATAAAATAATGTAGTTACTTTTTTTTATATGTAGTTATATATAATATATTTATAAAAATAACTCTATGGTTTGTATACTTTATTATGTCGACGCTTTAAAATTTACTTAAAAAGTATACAAAGTTCAAAAGTTTGAAAATGGTGTTGCTACAACATGAGTCTCGTGGTTTTACAACTTTAATTTTATATATATAAATTTATTTAAACGTATAATTACAAATATGTTGCAACAGCCAAATAGTTTTTCCACAAAAACGTGAACTAGAATACCATACTGTGATTAGAGCAACTTGATCAAATATGTGCGCATATTACCGCATTTGCTCACCGTTTAGTTTTTTGTTTTTTTATATTCACCATTTAGTTAATCTTTTTTTTATTTTTGTTTTGTTTATCGGGTGCCCAAGTTGATTTATTGTGTTTTCAGACTGATTTAATGTGTGCACAAGCAGATTTATTGGGTGATCATATATTTCAAATTTTTTAAATTGCGTTTGTAATGATTTTAAATTGGTTTTAAAATGAAAAACTTAAAAAAAAATTTATTTCATAAAATTTTTTGCTTTTCTTAGTAAAGCACATAATTATGTTAAATAAAATTAATAGACAATGTTTTTTTATATATTTTTTTTTATTAAATGACTTGATACTAAATGCTAAAAAACTATTTAGTTTAAATCTTAGAAGAAAGCATAATATTAAAAACCTGGATGAAAAAGAACTGTACTGAAACCTGGATGAAATGCTAAAAAACTATTTAGTTTAAATCTTAGAAGAAAGCATAATATTAAAAACCTGGATGAAAAAGAACTGTACTGAAACCTGGATGAAATGCTAAAAAACTATTTAGTTTAAATCTTAGAAGAAAGCATAATATTAAAAACCTGGATGAAAAAGAACTGTACTGAAACTATTTAGTTTAAATCTTAGAAGAAAGCATAATATTAAAAACCTGGATGAAAAAGAACTGTACTGAAACTATTTAGTTTAAATCTTAGAAGAAAGCATAATATTAAAATGGATGATGATGATGATGATGATGATGATGACATGATGATGATGATGATGATGATGATGATGATGATGATGATGACATGATGATGATGATGATGATGATGATGATGATGATGATGATGATGATGATGATGATGATGATGATGATGATGACATGATGATGATGATGATGATGATGATGATGATGATGATGATGATGATGATGACATGATGATGATGATGATGATGATGATGATGATGATGATGATGATGATGATGATGATGATGATGATGATGATGATGATGATGATGATGATGATGATGACATGATGATGATGATGATGATGATGATGATGATGATGATGATGATGATGATGATGATGATGATGATGATGATGATGATGATGATAATGATGATGATGATGATAATATAATATTAAAAACCTGGATGAAAGCTTGTTGCTCTTATTAAAAAAAAAAAACGCTTTTGCTTTTCTTAAATTCAATTAAAAACATCAACCGACTCAGTGCTTAATTTAAAAATATTCTGCATACTAATTGTAAATAAATTGTATTGGATGCTGAGCTTATTAAGGTTATCTATATATCAGAAAACTAAACTATGTTCTTTTCATGTGTAAGTTGATGAAGAATTTGTTTTTTTTTTTTAAAACAGTTTTAAAAAATTAGATTATTTGAGCTTTCCAAAATGAAAGTTTAAAAACTTTATGATTTTGTCTACAGCTAGTGTCTTGTCATTAAATTTGCTCCGAGTTTTTTAAGTTAAGCAATAAAAAATAGAATTATAAATAAAAAGCTAAGTAAAACTATAATCAACAATAATTACATTTGAAAATAAAATTTTTCTTGAGCTGTCACGCGAAAGGCTTTAATTTTGGTTTTAAAATGAAATGAATAAGACATAAACATTTTTTTTTTATATATATATATACAATTTCTATAAACATAAATAGTATCTTTTTATACCTTTTTTTTTTAGATTTAAGTAAGAGGAAAGAGGATTGCTTCTCGTCAAGTTTATCAGATGTCAATAATAAGTGTTCATTAAACCTTTTGGATACAAGTGGCGAGGGTTCTTTTATACATAATGAACTTCGTAACACCGATTTTAAAGAATCTAGTATTACGGAAGATGATTTGCAAAGTCTAAACTCTGAAGTTTCATTTAAACAATGTCGGAAGAGATCTTGGGAGTTGTTTCGCTTTCGAAAATCAAAATGTCGTCGAAATGACTCTGAAAATTTTGGTAATGGATTAATGCAACGTTTGTTTCAATGGTTTGGTCTGATATTTAAAAAGCGTTAAAGTTGAAAAAAAAAATAGGTTGTTCAAATTTTAAAATTTATTTTTTTGCAAGTGTTAAAAATATTTAATTTTTTAGTTACAAGTATATTTTTTCCTATTTGTTCATTATTGGAGTATTAAATTAGTTTAAACTTTTTTATTTTTTGTTTTAATTTTTAAAGAATTTATAAGTTTTAAGGGCAACAAGTAATTTATTATGATCAATTTGCTCAATTTGTAAATTTTTATATAAATATATGTAAATGGATAGAATATTACCTGAAATTTCTTCAAATATTTTTGCCAAGACCTCAAGACGTTTTTTTTTTTTTAATATTTTAGTTTTGATTTAATAGGTAAATAACAATCTTAGAGTTGTTCATTAGGTAAATAAAGTTTTCTGTTTTCAACTGAAATGATTATATTAAATCGCAAAAGTGTGCTAGGTGCGACCACACATGTGAGAACACACTGGTGCGAAATATAACAGCACTCTTTTAGCTAGAGTGTAACTCCTTCGCTAAAATATCTACATTTTTTTATTAAATTAAATATAGGTATACAATTTAGAAATAAAAACGTTCCTTGTGTTTTTCATTTATATTTATCATATACGATAAGAAATTTACTCAGATATCAGGTTATTACATACCATGGTTTACAACTTATTTCGAAAAAAGACAACAATTACTATAATAGATGGTAACAATAATAGGGCTAAAATTTTGCTTGAAATTTCCGGAAATTTTCGGAAAAAATTTTTAAAAATTTTTCATTGCATCAAACATATAGTTATTATATAGTTTTATAAAATTCATTTCGTTGTTTCTAAAATGCATTTCGTTGTTTCTAAAATTCATTTCGTTGTTTCTAAAATATGCGTTTTATCATTAATATTATTATAGTAATATTATTATAATAATAGTATTAGGATATTCTTTAAATATTTTAACAAAATAATAAATACCCATAAACGAAAAATGCACATCTTTTACTCAATATTTTATAGTCAATTCAAAAATTTTTACATTTTACAAAAACTTTTACATTACATTTAAAAAAAAAAAAATAGATGTGTTCCGAGTTAGCTTGTTTTCTGAGCTTCATTGGCAATATAAAAGATAAAGATACAAATAAATGGAAGAAAAATTACCAGAGAAGGTATCGTTAAAATATAAAAAATAGAGTAAAAAGAACGCGGATACTCCAGTTGCAGAATATAAGAGCGTTAACAACGCCATTTTTGATGAAGTCCCTGTTAATACCTTTAGTACCGAGGCCACATACGGAGCCCTATGTTACAGCTTAGGGTTAATTAGCAGGACTAAGACAACTGCATAGCTCATTGCTTAGGAGACCGTGCTCTATCTATAAATGAATCAAGTTCTCTCTAAACTCAAATTATGCCAAAAGTAACCCTAAGCATAAAAAACCATCCATACCACCTAACTGTTTTAATATATCTTTTATAAATATTTTTGGTTTGCAAAGAAACCTTCCATCAGTTAAATCTTAACTTTTGTAAAATTCACCGGACTTGCTTGTTCTTAGTAAGACTAGTTTAAATTCTGATATTCCTTCTTCAGATCTCAGTGTTGATGGATATTATTCTTTAATTCTCTTAGTCAGACAGTTAACTTTGGAAACTCTTTACTTTGGGACTCGTTTTCCTGACAACCCTAATCATTTACCTTCACTCTTTGATTTTGTCTTGTCTCTGATCTTAGCTTGTGTTCAGTTTCTCCTTTTTCTCTTTAAGGTGGTTCTGACCATGCAATGATCTCTTTAATTTTTCCTCTCGTACTTCCTTTTCGAACTTTTTGGAAAATCTTCAACAACGTCGTTAACAAAGAAAGGTCTAACATTCAATCTCTCATTCATAGGAATGATCTTATTACCTCGCCCAAGGATAAGACAGAACTACTTGCAAAGAACTTCTCTTCTAATTTAACTCTCGAATCTTATAGCTATTCTCTTCCTTCCATTCCAATTAAACAGGTTAACCCATGGTTAGACATTCAAATCACTCCGTTTGCTAAAATCTCCATGGTTACAGGTTAACCCATGGTTAGACATTCAAATCGCTTCCGTTGCTAAAATCTCACGTAAACTCTTCTACATCAGACTAAGATCTTCTGATCCAGATCTTAGTCTTACAAAATCATTCTCCAGATCTCTCTTCAATTCTCTCTAAACTATTTAATAAGTGCTTGACTGAGTCTTGTTTTCCTACCTGCCGGAAAATGGCATCTCTAGAGAACATTCTGACCCCTCCAGTTGTCTTCCGATAAATCTTCGTTCTGTTATTAGCAAGGTCTTTGAGTCTTTGATCAAAAGATTTCTTACATCCCGTCTTAAGTCAAATTACTTACTGTCAGACAATCAATACGGTTTTCAATCCTCTCACTCTACGGTTGACTTGTTAACTGCTTCAACTGAAAGAATTTATTATGCATTAGATAGATGGCGGAGAGGCTAGGGATATTGCTCTTGACATATCTCAAGCTTTCGAAAAAGTTTAGCTTGCTAGTTTTCTCCATAAGGTTGTTTTTGCAAAAGTTTTTGAGATTATCAAATCGTTTTTTCTAACCTTAAAGACTAAAAAAACCTAATTACTTTTGTTAACTGAAAATTAATTAATTTTCTAATAAAGCTTCTTTAAATTAGAAATCAATAGTTAATATTTAATTGATTAATTACTGTAGAGTATTAATACATAAATAATCAACATATGTGATTGGAAGAAAATTGAATTAGCATAAAAGAAAAACAACATTCCGATACCACGATCGATATAACGAGGAAATTAACAAAGACTCAAAACGAAGCTCTCGAGATAATGGTTGAATTATCAAAGAAATACGTACTTCTGGAATCAAAAGAAAATGTAGGAAAACTCAATACAGAAATTGAAAAACTAAACGACGAATTTGCGGAATTTATGGAACATGTAAATGAATGGATATTGCGCAAAGGGAGTTTAAAATCAAGTTTAATACAACAAAGGATGGAAAAAGAACTTAAAATGGAAACAAAAAAGCAATGTTATCAATGGTTAAGTACTCAAAAAAGTAATGACCAGTATGAAGATAATAAAGAAGAAAATGGGAATAGCGAAATGGAACCAATCAAATCAACGCATATCATGCATAAAATGGAAAATAAAATAATAATTTGGATCAAAAGACTGCAAAAATTGGGCATGATTTATGGAAACAACTCAAACGCGTCTCTATACCAATATTTAATGGTGATAAAAAGAACTATGAAAATTGGAACGCTTCATTCTATGCATGCATTGATCAAGCCCCAGCGACATCTGAGTATAAATTACTTCAGTTACGTCAATATTTATGTGGAGACGCATTAAAAGCAATTGAAGGACTTGGGCATTCGTCATTCGCTTATGAAGCTGCAAAAGAAAGACTTGAAAGAAAATATGGCGGAACAAGGAGAAAAATCCTTATGTATTTGGATGAATTGAACAACTTTAAACCTATGAGGGAAAATAATACAAAAGACGTTGAAAAGTTTGCGGATTTGTTGAATGTTGCAGTAACAAACTTAAAGGAAGCAAATCGAACAGAAGAACTTGACGATGGGACATTGTACCATCAATTGCAAAAAAAAGTTCCTGAGATAATGTTAATTAGATACAAACGATGGGTGTATGAAAACAAATTAAACGAAAATGTTAAAACTCTAAAAAAGTTTATTGTTGAAGAAGCAGATTTTCAAATTGCAGCAACGGAAACTCTACATGGTTTAAAAAAAACTATTGGTAGCAAAGCACACGAAGAAAATTCTTACTTTGGTAACAGTGATCAAAAAAAGAAAATAAATTGGATACAGAAATGTTCTGTTTGCAAAAACGATCATAAAATATGGGAGTGTCCAATGTTTCAAAATCAAAATATTAAAGAAAGATGGGAGACAGCTAAGAAAAATAAACTCTGCTTTAGATGCTTGAATTCTAACCATTCGTCAAAAAGAATGCAGGAACATAAGAATTTGTGGGATCGATGGCTGTACAGATACCCATAATCGTTCACTTCACAAGAAAAGTCATAAAAAAGAAACAATTTCTGAAGACTGCAAAGAAAAAGATACGATATTAGAAAATCCTCATACGTCGAACATCCAATTTCATTCAAATCACGTCATGAACTACATATCTCTTAGAACGGTGCCAGTTATTCTTCGTAATGGATATAAAAAAGTTGTGGTAAACGCATTGCTTGACGATGGAAGTACCAAGACATATTTGAACTCTGATGTAGCGGCTGAGTTGTCACTGCAAGGTAAAACCGAAAAGGTAACTGTAAACATAATAAATGGAAAAATTGATTCTTTCGAAACGATGCCAGTAGAATTTCAATTGGAATCGTTGAATGGAGAAACAAAAATTACAGTGGGAGCTTTTAGCGATAATAATGTAACTGGAAACTTAAAAGCAGTTAATTGGGGAAATATGTCAAAAAGTTGGAAACATCTAAGAAAAATCGAATTCCCAAATACCAAAACCAAAAATTGACATTCTAATCGGTGTGGATTACGCTGAGCTGCACTGTGCAATTAAGGAAGTAAAAGGAGGATTTAATGAACCAGTGACTCAACTCACGCCGCTCGGATGGACATGTGTTGGTGGTACTGGTGGATCTTTCTTCGAAAATAACATCTAGTACAAACACCATTAAAAAATTATGGGAAATTGAAGACGACAAAGAGATGCAATTCAGAAAAACAATGACAAGTCCAGAAGACTCTACCACCCTTAATATAGTAACTAATTCGCTAAAAACTGAGAACGGAAGGTATGAGCTAAAATTACCATGGAAAGGTAATAGACATTTGGACAATAATTATACAATGGCGTTAATCAGATTACAAAATACGGAAAAGCGGCTAATGAAAAACTAAAGTCTAGGAGAAGAGTACAATAGTATTATTAAGCAGTATCAAGAAAAGGGATACTTGGGGAAAATCAATCAAAGGGATCTTGGAGATAGTTGGTACTTACCACATTTTCCAATTCTTTGTCCTGATAAATCAACTACAAAAGTCAGAATTGTATTTGATGGATCTGCAAAATATAATGGTAAATAAATTAATGATGTTGTTTATCAAGGTCCAAAACTTTAACAAGACCTTGTTACTGTTTTGCTGAGATTTCGAAAATACCCAGTAGCTTTAGCTTGTGATCTAGCAGAAATGTATTTAAAAATTAGAATACATAAAGATGACCAAAGGTACCAACGAATTTTATGGAGAAACCTAGATTCAAATGCCGAGCCTGAGGTATTTCAGTTTAATCGGCTCGTATTTGGAATCAACTCAGCGCCTTTTATGGCTCAATTTGTAACGCAAGAACACGCAAAAAAGTATGCAAAAAAATTTCCTTTGGCTTCTGAAGCTGTTCTTGAAACAACTTACATGGACGACACAATAACTTCTGTAGTTGATGAAAAAGTAAAAGAAATTCAATTATACAATGAACTCACGCTATTATGGGGTTCAGCAGGAATGTTTGCACGAAAGTGGCTTTCAAACTCGGTCGAAGTTCTTAAAATAACACCAGAAAATGATCGTGCAGAACATATAAGTTTAGATTCTGTAGAATTGTCTGCAATGAAAACACTTGGAGTTGTCTGGAAAGCAAAACCTGATTTATTTAGTTTTCATTCTGTAACAACCGAAGAAAATACGGTATATACAATACGAATTTTGCTTAAGAAATGGCAACGTTGTTTGATCCATTGGGTTTTTTGGCACCATTCGAATCAAAATAATTATGCAAGAACTGTGGATTGATGGAATTGAGTGGGATGATGCAGTTCCGGATAGGATTGCAAATAATGTTGATCAATGGTTTCAAGAACTAAACGATCTCCCAAAAATAAATATTCCCAGATGTTTAAAAACAACCTCAACAGTAACAAATAGGTCATTCCATGTTTTTACGGATGCATCTTGTAAAGCTTACGGTGCTGTTGCTTACCAACAATGTTTATATGATATAGGAGAAGTGACTTGTGTGATCATAATATCAAAAGCCCGAGTAAGTCCATTGCAATCTATTAGTATACCAAGACTTGAGTTACTTAGAGCTGTCCTCAGTTTACGACTTGCAGAGAAGATTGACAAGGCATTGAAACTGGAAACTAAGGACGTAACTATATGGTGTGATAGTCTTAATGTTTTATGGTAGATAAAAAATCAAAGTCGAAAGTTGAAACAATTTGTTGCCAACCGTGTTGAATTCATTCAATCAAAGACTGAACTAAAACAATGGAGATACATACCAACAAAAACTAATGTAGCTGATTTACTAACAAGAGGAACAACAGTTAAAGAATTAGAAAGCAATTATGTATGGTGGCATGGACCAAGTTTCCTTAATTCTTTAGAAGAAAAATGGCCACAGAATCACATTGAAGTTACACAAGAGGCTTCAATTGAAGTAAAGAAAAATCCAGTATTAATGAATTTTGCATTATCCACTGAAGTAACAAAGCAATTGCTTGATTTAAGCAAGTTCTCATGTTGAAAAAAACTTGTCCGGATAAACGGCTGGATCCATCGGTTTATAGGAAATTGTCGATTTAAAACAGACTTTCGTAAAAAGGGTGATATAGCAGCTGATGAATATCATGAAAGCGAAAAAGAAATCATAACTAAAGCTCAAAAAGAAAGCTTTAAAGAAGAATATAGCAACATTGAAAAAGGAAAACCGATATCGATATCAAGCATAATTATTTCTTTAAATCCGCAAATTGACGAAGACGGATTATTGCGATCTTGCAGTCGATTGCAAAATGCCCATTATTTACCCTACGATGTTAAATATCCAATCATTTTGCCGAGAGGACATTAATAACAAAATTGATTGTTAAGCATTACCATGACGAAGCCAATCATGTGATGGGAACAAATCAATTGTTAACAAAACTATCAGATTGGGTAATACGAAGACGAGAAGAAATCTGAGATGCAGAAGCAAAATGCAACAAATGTAAATTAAGAAGATGTAAACCTGCTCAACAGCTGATGGCCCCTTTACCAGCAATGCGCTTTAAAGAACCACTACGTGCTTTTGCTAGAATTGGTATCGATTTTGCAGGTCCATTTCTTACTATGCAAGGTAGAGGGAAGATACGACAAAAGAGATACTTGTGCTTGTTTACCTGTTTACTATCACGAGCAGTACATCTTGAGATGGCTTATAATCTAGATACAAATTCATTCCTCAATGCCTTTTATCGAATGGTGAATAGAAGAGGATTACCATTAGAAGTTTTAACGAACAATGGAACAAATTTTGTTGGAGGATGTCGAGAACTAAACGAAATTGTCAACGACTTAGATAAGGATAAAATTACTAACTCTACAGCTGATAAAGGAATCAAGTGGCACTTTAATGCTCCACTAGGACCTCATCTTGGCGGTGTATTTGAAATAATGGTCAAAGCTGTTAAACGTGCAATGACTGGGATACTCGAAAAAGCCGATATTACAGGTGAAGAACTCTGTACGGCATTTACAGGTGCTGAGAGTTTATTGATTTCTCACCCACTAACATATCAGAGTGCCAATATAAAAGATGATATTCCATTAACTCCAAATCATTTTTTGAATGGGCAAGTTGGTGGACAATTTGCACCTGACTCAGTTCAATGTAAAGGCTATCATCCTAAAAAGCGCTGGCGTCGAGTGCAAGAACTACTAAGTCATTTTTGGAAACGGTGGATTCGAGAATGGCTTCCATCTTTATCTAAAAGATATAAATGGAATCAGAAAAAACGCGAAATAAAACCGGATGACATTGTGTAAGTAATTTCTCCAGATACATCTAGAGGACATTGGCCACTTGGTAGAATTACGGGAGTCTTTGAAGGTAAGGATGGACGTGTAAGAGTTGTGAAAGTCAAAATTGGCAAAAAAGAATTTATACGACCAATTACTAGATTGTGTCTTCTTGAGTTTGACAATTAAATGTTTGATAGACTGGAGTCTATCAAAGAGGAGGAGAATGATTGGAAGAAAATTGAATTAGCATAAAAGAAAAACAACATTCCGATACCACGATCGATATAACCAGTAAATAGCGCCAATATGGCTATAACGAACTAAATAACAATTATGCGGCGACTATTTGAACAATAGTGTTTTTTTGTTATTGAACGAAATTTTTTTATAAATATAGTTTTGTTGTTGTTGTTTTTCAAATACAAAAATAAAAATAATATATATAATATATTTAATGTAAAAACGGTTAAGATCTTAAAAATATAAGTTATAATACATATTCGGTATTATTTGTGATCGCCATCGGAGCAATATGTACATATATTTTTATTATTTCAAATAATAATCTTCTTTTTTAGAAATTTATTTTTATTTTTGCGTTGTTTATCAATCTTTTACTTTTATTTTTTACTGTTTATTTTCTTTAACTTAATTGGCAGTAAAAAGTATTATAAATATGATTAAATAAGTTAAACTATAAATTGCTCAAACAATAAAATGTTTTTTTATATAAAACCACATCTTCTTATTTTTCAAACCAATTCTTAAATGTTATTTTTGTCATTTTAATATTTTATTAAATTTTGTTTCTTTTATTTTACAAAACATTTTTTATATCTTATTCTTTGAAAAACTATAAATTTTAACCGCTGCGCGATATATTTACATTTTTTTTAGAATATTAAATCAGTGATATATACATTGAAACAATATTTTATTGTTAAACTATATTTTACCTAGTAATGACGCATTTTTTTGGGGCTTAATGATAACACTAAATTTGTCTTCTTCTAGCCCTGGTCATGTAAATATTTTTTATAAGTTACGAGTGTAAATGTTTTTTTCTTAATTTCCAGTAACTTCTGGGGTACCTCAAGGTTATATTTTTGGTTTAATCGTCTTATTGGATTATCGTTTACTACTGCTCTATCATGGAATCCATAAATACTTAATAATCGATTGCTAAATTACCATCTGATAAGGTTGATTCTCTTTATCGTGCTCGCTATTTTCTTACTCCTGATTTCATTCTCTACCTTTACAAATCTCTTTCTTATCTACATAACTGATCACTCCGACAACCTTACATACTTTAAGTAGCTCTTTTTGCCGATGGCTCCTTTTTTTTACTCCTTTTGACCTATGAGCCCCAATCTGTTACTTCTGTAATAGATTGGGGCTCATAGTGGTTTGTAAATTTTAACTCCAACAAAACTTAGTTAATTACTGCAAACAACTATCGTAATACGTATTATACTGCAAACAACTATCGTATCGTATAATATCGTTTTCCTGAATCTTATAACCTTTAACATTTCAAGTCTTCTGACAACCGTTTTCTTGTTCTGTAACTTTATTATTTTTTTCTAGTAACTTCTAACTTAATAGTAGTATTTGGGAGTGAATCAGAATTAAGGAAAAAAATTTTTTTTACGTGAATTCTGTGAAATATCTAAAGGTTCTTGACGTTAATATATAACTTAGCTTTCCACAAGTTCCCTATAACACACGACGTTTCTTGATATATTTCTCACAATATATTTAAATAATGCTTTACGAAATTTTAGGACAAATATAAAAAAAATACAATTAAAAAAAAAAATTCAGAAATATTGACATTTACCTTGTGCTCAAGCGGCAAAATACGCCAAAAAATGCCCTAAGTAGTTCGTTAATTATTTGGCTTTGAGCGCAAAGTAAAATCTCAATATTTTGTAAGGTAAAATCTCAATATTTTGTAAATAAAAATATTTTTTCTGATATCACATTAAAAAATTTTTTTTTACAAAATATTGAGATTTAGCTGGTCTTAAGTTATTTTTAGATAGTTGTGTAACCTAGTTTTTTCATAGTTGTTTATATATATATATATATATATATATATATATATATATATATATATATATATATATATATATATATATATTTGTATGTATTTAGGTGCTCCCAGAAGTCCTTGCAGTCTTATCATAGAGCACCGTGGGTGAGCATTTAACAGGAAGTTTACGCCTCCTTCCGTACCAATGTCGCTTGTTAGGTTAGAGCTGGCATCGAACCTCGGACCTCTGAGTTCTGAGCCAGAACTCTAACCACTGCGCCACGGCTGCTATTATATATATATTAAAAAAAGATTTCGCAAAAAAATAATTTTGTGCAATTTTTTTTTTTTTTTAAACATCGCTTCCAACAAGGCTGCAAGCAACCACTAATTAGTGTTGGAAGTTACTGGAAGAGAAAATATGAAGATTGTAGAGCAAGATAACAATTGACAGACGACTTAAAAGATTGCAAATTATATGAATCAGGAAAGCAAAATGAAGGAAGCGAATTCCAAAGAACTGATGTTCGAGGAAAAAAACTAGACGAGTAAGAGTTTTTGGACCACTTAGGAACAGTAACAGAAAAAGGATGAGACTTAATTGAATGACGAGTAACACGAGAATGAATTTTAGTAGATGGCACAAGAGACGCTAAAACATTGCCCATTATAGTATTTGTAGAAAAGAGAAAGAGAAGCAGCATTACGACGATGTGACAGAGGTTGAAGGTTGGCTGCAAGAGCAGGTCCAACTATGTATACAATGCGTTTTTGCATCTTGTCTAAAAGAGAAAGGGCATCATTAGAAGATCCACCCTAGATATGGCAACAGTATTCCATACAAGACCGGATTTGAGATTTATAGAGATAGAGAATAGAATCCAGAGTAAGAAAGTGACGAGCTCGATAAAAAGAAGCAACTTTAGCAGATGCTAATTTTGCAATGGATTTGATATAAGGTTTCCAAGAAAGATCAGAAGTAAGAGTTAACCCTAGAAGATGAAGGGTAGGAGACTCATCGAGTACATTACCGTTCATAAATATAGGAAGATCTGAATTATTGCAATAACGATCGGCTGAAAAAAATTAAGTTTTATCTAATTAAAGTTCACCAGCCACTGTGAGCACCATGCAGAAGTAAAATCCTTTTCAAGCTCAAATGCCCTCTCCAAGCAATCAGAGAAAGTTGGCTTCTTATCATGACAAGAATAAATGGTAGCATTATCAGCGAACAATGCCACCTTAAATGTGAAAATATCTGGAAAATTGTTAATGTAAATTGAAAAGAGTGTAGGGCCAAGGATTGAACCTTGAGGAACCCCTGAAGTTACAAAAAATGAAGAAGAGTGCTGTTCATCGAGGACAACTTTTATACTACGATTGGAAAGGAAGGATTCAATAATCTTAAAGATGTTACCAGATACACCGTAAGAAGAAAGCTTAAAGAGAAGACAAGCATGCCAAACTTTATCAAAAGCTTTAGAAATGTCAAGAGCGATGGCCTTAACCTCTCTACCTTTATCTAATGCGCGATAAAACCTATTGGTTATTACTGATAGCAAATCAGCCGTAGAACGAGAAGATCGAAATCCATATTGATTATCAGAAAGTAGGTTATGAGATGGGAGATTAAGTGTTTGTTAATTAAAGATTCAAAAACCTTGCTTATGATAGGAAGAAGACTAATGGGACGGTAGTTAGACGAATCAGATCGCTCTCCAGAATTTTTAAAAATAGAGATAACAGATGCTGCTTTCCATCAGGCTGGAAAACAAGACTCTGATAAGCTTTTGTTAGATAGTTTTGAAAGGATAAACGACAGCTCTGGAGAACACTTCTGCAAGACTATTACGGGTATGTTGTCCGGGCCGCAAGCTGTAGAAGAGTCTAAGCAGGAAATCACTTTAGATACAGAAGCTGGAGTGATACGGGTGTCGAGCAATGGATCAACCTGTTTGACAGCTATATCAGGTAGAACGCAACTAGTGGAATCAAGAGATGATATTGATGAAAAGTTCTTTGCAAACAATTCAGCTTTGTCTTTAGGTGAGGTGACAAAGTCTAAACCGTACAAAAGAGGTGGAATTACAGACTTGCCCTTATTATTGATACTATTAAAGATTCTCCAGAAGTCACGAGAGCCTAATTTTTGTGATGAAATACGAGATTTCATGATCTGAGAATAGTGGGCTTTGGCGTTAGACAAAACCTTTTTACAATGGTTCCTAGCAGTAATAAACAGACGTCTGTTTTCTGGAGAATTGTTTTGGTGATAGATATGGAAGTAATGGTTTCGATTGGCAATAGCAGCAGCACAATGTGAGGAAAACCATGGAGAAGAGTGAGGCTTGACCTGGAATCGTCGAGAGGGAATAAAAGATTCCATGCCAGCCTGAATCCACGAAGTTATGTTAGAAGGTTATTAGCAGCCGTGGCGCAGTTGTAGCGCACTTGTCTGAGAAACGTAAGATCCGTGGTTCAAACCCCACCTCTGGGCAAGTTTTGCGACATCGGTTGGGAAGGAGGCGTGAACTTCCTATTAAATGCTCTTCCTGCCGTGCTTTGTGATAAGACCGTAAGGACTTCTTGGGGCACCTTAATCAACTTATAAACAAAAAAGAAAAAGAAAAAAAAGTACATTTGTCAACAGGAAGACGAAAGACTTCTACCCAGGGGCCATCACGAAGAAAATCACAGAAAGAGTCCTAGTCAGCTTTAAGGTAGTTGTAAAATGTACAAAGATAGGGGGATTCTGATGGTAAAGAAGAATGAGATTATAGTTTTAGAGAAACCATGCCATGATCAGAAGCACCAAAGGGTGAGTGTGGAGAAACTGAGCACTGACTAGGATCAGAAACAAGACATAAGTCGAGTAGAGAAGGTAAATGATTCGGGTTGCCTGGAAAGCGAGTTGGAAAGTTGACTATTTGAGTTAGGGGTTGAGAAAGGCAAAAGTTGTGGGTCTTAATGCCTGCAGAGTTACTGACACTAGAGCCAAGCTATTCAGTGTGATGAACATTATAGTCACCGAAAACAATAATATTGGCTGATGGATAAAGAATGAGGGCTTGGTCAATATAATCAAAAATAACATCAAGAAGAGTGCAGTCTTGAGATGAAGGAGAGCAATATAGAACAAAGAGAAAGGTGATAGAGTGAAATGTTGTTAAACGAAAGCACATAAAAGAGTAGTCTGTGGATTCAAACCTTGTTTCCGCTCAAGCCAAGCATGTGACTATTGGAGTATTTACGAATTAAAGGAAGATAACAATCAACACTAAGATCACAAGATGAGACAGCTGAACTCAAATTATTCTCACAAAGAACAAGTAGGTCTGGTGGATTTTGCAAGAGATAAGACTCAACTGAAGAAATGTTACTTCGAAGACCATGAATATTGGTGAATGATAGGTTTAGCGAACTTGTAATACGCAAAAAATAGGAATTTTTTTTTTTGTATAACTAATGCGAAATCTTTTTTTATTATAAAAAACAATTATGAAAAAACCAGGATGCACAACTTTCTAAATAAATATTTGGACCATTATGATCACATTAGAAAAAATATTTTTTTAATTTAACAATTTGGGCATTTTTCGGTGTATTTTGCCGCTTGAGCACAAGGTAAACGTCAATATTTTTGGAATTATTTTTTTGTAATTTTTGTATGTAATGTATTTTTTTCATATTTGCCCCAAATTTGGCTTCTTGTGTAATCGCGTTTTGAAAATTTTATTTTTTTGAGCACCCCTAATATATAGTTGACTGTCTATATCTCGAATTCTTAATAACTCGAACTTTTGTATGTCTTGAATTTTTTCCTCGGCTCATTGGAAATTACGTAGTTGTTTAGGCTAAAGTCGTCTCATAACTGGAACCTCAATAAGTCAAACTTTTTGATATCTTGAACAATATTCTTGGTCTTCAACCCTTCAAAACCTTCAAAATTTTCTCTCGTTATTTTGAAATTTTCAAGATTTTTTTTCAACAAATATTTTGTTAACATTCCATTTTTAAAAGTTTCAATTTTCCAAAAGTATTCCTCTAAATATTTTAAAAATTCGAATTTAAAATAGGATAAACTTTTTTAATTTAAACTTCTAAAAAGTAATCCATTATAACGTTTTTAAAATTTGATTATAAAATTTGATTTTTTATTATTACTTGAACTTCTAAAAAGTATTCCATTAAAAGAATGTTTTTAATAAAATTTTCTAAAAAGCCAAAACACGCGACTAGTTAAGTGAAAACTTATAAACAAATCTATAATAGAAAAATGCAAGGCATTTTTCTATTATAGATTTGTTTACAAGTTAAACCACAGCTACATTTTGAAATTTCGGAATACTTTTTAACTTATATTATAACAATGAGAAAGTAGAAAAAATTGTTAAAAAACAAATTTTGAGTAATTAAAGATAAAAATTCCAGAATATATTAGCGATATTCCGGGATAGCGGAATATCACTGTTGCGTTTACTCCAGTATCCAGTTAAAGAATGTTGAACTCATGATGGAACGATAGAAGTTCTGTAATAAAGGTTATGGAGACCTATCAATAGGTTTACTTAGTAAATAGACTTAAAAATTTCATTAGCGTAAAGATTCAAGAATGAAGACAAATGAAGATTTCATGAAATGATTTTACTTTTATGTATATTTGATTAACGGTATTGACCAAAAATCGTAATAATTATAAACAATAACTTATACGTTAAACAATGACGTTTCATCAGTTATGTGTACAACGTTAAATGGAAGACGGCAAGTCTTTCAGAAATAATTGCTACGCTTTTGAAGATACCTTAGATCATGACATTAATCATCGCATCAAACCAACAGGCACCAATCCAGGAAATCCTTTAAATCGCTTAAAAATAACACTTCAAAAATCGTCAAAACGCTGTTTAATTGTGAAAAACATACTGCTCACAAATTCTTATTCAACTATCTCCAGTGTTAATGTTATTGCCCGCACAGCTTGAAGACACCTCGCCAAAAACTTTATCTTTGATTGTATTGTGCTGCATGTAACGATTCCTTTAGCCACGTCTTTCTTTAAAAAAATATTCGTGCTTGCTTCAAATTATGCAATGAACACAAGGATTGAACTGTTGAAATGCGTTGACAACCCATGTTTCCAACCGAAGTGCAAGTTCAGCAGTTTGTAACATATCAACAAGTCAATGTCCACCAAACTCACGCATCGTTAGCCGATACGTCGTACCTTTTGTTATGTAATATCCATCAAATATGATTTGCAAATCAGTTAATGGTTATTCTGGCATAAACCTTTTAAAACAAGGTGATACTGTCAATTCCAAGAATTGAAAATTTTGAAGAACTATCTATTTAATTCGTTTCGAATTAGAAAGTTTGACATTTTCATGCACGACAGCGCAACATGCCAACAAGCAAAAATTTTCTAAGCTTAGCTACAAGAATGCGATAGATGTTTTTTTTCCTGTGGCCGGGATTTAAACTCGAAAATTGTTGTGTAAAATTAAAAGCAGAAGTTTCTAAACAGAACTTAATTTCACTAACTGGGAAAACCAATAATGAAACGTGATAAAATAACGCTCTGATAATCTAAATGGAAACCATTCAAAATACTTAAAAATACAAAATACTCTGCAACGCAGTAAGAGTAATATGGCCTTACTTTCTCATATCATACGGCTATTAAAACGGCGAATCTTGGATCAGGGCGAGAGTAGTTGTCCATTAATGGAATTTCAATTTTGAGTAGTGCAATGACTATGCATATCATTAAGTCTCTCTGTTAGACTTTGATGGTCGAAGATTGCTGATAGTCTGCGGCTGTATTTAAAGGCAGAGTTTATTAAATTTATAAAGGGACCAGTACTATTTCTTACCATCCATTTTAGGTTGCCAAGCACACGATCAACAAGATGGATACCACCCATTTCTTTGTCATAGTGCTATAGGGGTTATTGGCACATCTCTGGCCTGCTGCGCAACGTATTAAAAAGTAAACATTCTTTTTTTAAAAAATAATTAAAAAAAAAATTTTCTTAAAAAAAAAAAATACATTTTTTCACAATAAAACTAATACATATTCTAATACAATATAGTATATATATTCCTAAATTTGAGTTTCTAAATAGCTTCAGTAAAAAATGTATATTTTATTTTTTAAAGCAACAAGAGCTGACAACTCAAGTATCATATGGTATAATATTTTCACCAAATATAGCATAATATTTTCACCAAAACATTTAATTTTTGTAAAACATGTAAAAACTAAAGGCCACCCCAATGACTGATAAAGATAGAATCGTCAACCATACAGGGAAACTAAAAAAAAGTCAATTAACTTAAACTCGCATTTTAAACGAGATAAACATAAAACGTATTCACAAAATTTACCGCGTAAAATTTTAAATATTTATTAGAAACAACTTTCTACTGATATAAAAACATTTTTTTCAAACAGATTAAAGTTAAAATTAAATTATCAAAAGAGAGATAATTAATACTTTTTATTTAAAACGTGTAGTTAATTTAAAGCTAATACCTAGACGGCTGTGGATCTTGTTTTTTCTATAGAAAAAAAAAAAAAAAAATTGCTATAAAAATTTATTAACGTTCGTAAATAATAATAACCAATAAAAATCTCATACGGATATTAAAATGTCTTAAAAATTATTTATTTTGAAGCTAAGGAAACAAAAAACAAAACAAAAAACATGAAAAACTATCTAAAACCTCGTAAAGTAATACAATTACGCGATGGAAAAAAAAATTAAGTTAAAAAAAAAAAATTATAACTTTTTTGGAGCTTTCTACTTTTTTTGATAATTAAAAGATTAAAATCAATTTCAGCTTTGTAAAAGGTTGCAAACGAAATTTTAGGAATAGAGCTAAGTCTTTTTTGATATATATATATATATATATATATATATATATATATATATATATATATATATATATATATATATATATATATATATATATATATATATATATATATAAAATATATATAAATGAATAGTTTGTGTGAAAATCTAAAGACAACGCTTTACTAAAGAATTTTTTCACAGCGCAATAAATGACAATTGTTATGTATATATTCTTGTAACATTAACTTCACAAATTGTAAACTTGTAACAAGTTTGAAACCAAATTTTGCATTTAATAAGCAACTTTTTTAATGAATAAACAGATAGCTTGTTAAAAAACAAAAGCTCTTGTAAAAAGCTGTTTAGAGGAGCAACTCGCATAGCTTACCATGTTCATTTTAGGAGAATTTTTCTCTTTTTAGGAGAACTTTTCTTTTTATGTATATATATATATATATATATATATATATATATATATATATATATATATATATATATATATATATATATATATATATATATATATATATATATATGTATATATACATGTATGTGTATATATATATATATATATATATATATATATATTTATGTATATATACATACTGTATATATACATGTATGTATATATACATGTATGTATATATATATATATATATATATATATATATATATATATATATATATATGTATATACACATGTATATATACATATTATAATAGATAATAATACTAACAATAATAATAATATATATATATATATTATATATATATATATATATATATATATATATATATATATATATATATATATATATATATATATATATATATATATATATATATATATATATAATTATAATAATAATAATAATATGTATAATATTTACTTACTAAGGACATTTGACAAGGCAAAAACTTTTTTTCATTTTATTATATTTAATATGTGTGTGTGTATATATATATTAAGCCAGTCTAAATATTTTTTTTCCAAAGCATGTTGGCTCACTTTGGGATTTATGTAAGCCATAAATATAAACATAGTTCCGAAAAAATTTTACAATTTGGAGTTATAATCATTTTAATTTGTGTTTTTTTTCATTTAAATTAATTAAATATTTTGCAAAATCATAAATATATGCGATGAAAACGTTTTACAAGTCTTGCCTCGTATTTACGATGTTTTATGAAAGCATATTGGCTAACGTCAAAGAAACGAAGATTCGTAAAAGTTTCCGTCGCAGATGTTTCTGAAAAGTTCTATTCAATATTAGTTCAAAACTAGAAAATTGGATTTTTTAGTTTTGAACTCGATTGTTAACAAAAAGTTCTTTAAAATTGTTGGTGTTTAAAAATAGCTTGGATCAGGGTCTTTTTAGCATATACAGGAACTTCAACATTTTTATAGACCTCACAATGAAAGTTACACCAAGTTTGATGCATAACATTTTTGAATGTCTTTTCATAAAAGAGTACATTGAACTCATTTTTATATATGTGTTAATCTTCAGAGTCATAGAAAAAATTTTCAATATCAATAATATTGATATATTATATATTATAGTTTTGTATTGTATTCAATATATATTATATATGGATTATACAAGATTGTAAAATTACTCTGAGAAAAGTATACAATATTATGATTTTTTCACATTTCTCTTGTTTTTGGCTCTGCTTTTGTTTTTGGCTCTGCTTTGGTTTTTAGTCAGAATGAAGTTATGTCTCTTCACCCGTCCATAAACCTTTTTAGAAGCTTCAGATGTGAGTTTTACAGCTCTTTTTACCGACTGAGAATAGTTTGGCAAATCAGTTAAAGAAAGTTTATTGCAGGTTTGAATAGCTTGTTTTAATTCATTTGAAGAAACAAAAATTGAAGTGTGAGGTTCAATATGTATTGAAGAAACTTCAATTAAGTCAGTCCAAACATCAGCATTGAATTTCAAGGTTATAATTGTTATAGCTTTGATTTTTTGACACCCCTGCCAGTGTTAGAACTTGTATTGTCAAGAACAATCGCTTTTAAGCTTTTGACACTATCATATTCAGAAAGCACATTTAATATTACTAAAGCCATTTTTTATCACATATATAAGATAATTTAAACCTTTACCATTTTTTATCACATATATTAGATAATTTCTAAAGAAAGGATCATTTTCACAAGTAAAAGTGAGGTGATGTTCATCATTGGTGGTTCGATAAAAGAAAGGGTCCTCATTACTCTTGTGAGATGATGTTTATCATTGGTGGTTTGATAAAAGAAAGGATCCTCATTGCTATCAACACCAATTACCTTTACTTCTAAAACCACTTGACGATGCTTAGTGTCAATTGATTTAGCCACTCGTGCTTTTTTACAAAATACCTTCTGTAATTATCTGAGATTTTTTACTCTTATTTACTATTCCGTAGTCAATTAATACAGCAGTTGCTATTGCAGCTGCTGCAGCATCACTTAATTTGTATTTTATTGCAGCATTGGCCAAATTAGTAAATTCTGTGTAATTTCTTTCACTAAGTATTTGCTCCTCAAACTCTTCACTTCCAGTTGTATCTAAATTTGAAGGTTCAGCGCTAAAAAACTACCATTTGAATCGACTTCTAATGTTTTTTGAAGATTTTATTTGTCTAATTAGCTTTCTAGTGGCCTCATTTTCCTTTCTAATATTCTTTTTGGTGTTCCTTGTTGCCTCCGCTTTGTCTACATTACCTAACTGCCAAACTTCTTTTTGGTCCTACCTTGCATCTTAGGTCCTTTAAATATTCTCTTTCCAAAACAGGGAAAGAAAATAAGTCAAGTATTCTAAATTTGAAAGTATTTAAATTTAAAGTGAATAGAATGAATTAATGGTCAAATGATTGGTGATCAATAATCATTATGACATAACTTCATAAAAAAGCAGCAATTTCTAAAATGACTTAAGGTTATTTTATTTTCCCTAACCTAACATATTTATGAATTTTAACTGTAAATGCCTAATAATATTAATACAAAAATGGCATGAATTACCTTTCTACTTTCCTCACAGAGACAAACTATGTGTTTCATTGTACAATTACTTTTCCGACATCCAATTCGTCTAAACGTATATTATTTTACTATAAAATCAAAACAATATAAAAATCATTTATAGCGTAGGCTTACATCTGTTAGTTTATGGTTGTAGACCTTACTTTAATACCTTAGTAGAAGGCAGAGGGATGGGGTAGTAAATTTTCATCTACCTTTACAAAATCTTTTTCACTTAACATTAAAAAAAGTTGTAATAAAAAACTTTAAAAGATATATGTTTACCTATCATTACAATCATCAATAATTGGAAGATCGCACCGGCAAGCAGACACATCAAAACAATGTTTCTAGTTTTTTTTCTAGCCAGTTTATACTGTACTTCTGGTTTTTAGGTTGAGTTCATTCTGCAGACAACACTTTTAGAAATGTCCTCGATATTTTATGTTTCAATGGTTTATCTTTTATCAGAGGTAGATTTGGATTAACCCTAAATCAAAGCTGTTACAAGTCACTATTGACTTTTGTCACGATTGATACAGAGTCAATTTTCTGTCCATTAAATAATTCTTTATCAACCTTGCAACCATATTGAATGACCTATTTGTAAGTTGGTAGATCGCTTACGGGAAAATCAGAGGCTTTTCAAAGACAATATGAATTTATTATATGACAGTATGAACTTATTATATGATTAAAAAATAAAACAAGAAACTATTTTTTGATTTAAGTTTCTAAATGTTTTTAAACTATTTGCTAAAAAACAATTAGCTAATGTTTTAGTTTGGTATATAAATTTTTTATTGAACACTGTAGTTTGCTGTATATTTTCATTATATTGAAAATTTTTCAATATATTGAAAAAAGATCTATAGCTCTACGTTTTTTTAAAAAAAACCCGCATGAAAGTAGAGTTTTATTTACGGACCTTAAGTGACTCCATGTAGAATTTGCATGTTTTTCTATTGTATTTCCTAAAAGGATTAAAAAATTTTTGACGTTTTTTTTGTGGCAAACAAATAATATATCGACAATACATAAATCCCGCACTGAGCCAAGTGTTATCATATACATGACAGTGGTTTAATATATATAAACTAATATAAATAAATACATACATATATATGAATATATTCATATATTTAAACTGTATCTAATAAATTGAGTAGAGAAACAAAATTAAGAATTGTAATTAGGCTTATTCATTAATTATTTATTAAACAGGATCCTAATTGCAGTTCATTGTAAAATTCTGTCAACTATTACAAACAATTAGATTCTATAATAGGAGAGGGCGAGTAAGAGTGAGCTATGGGTATGAGTTCATTTATCCCATGACAAAAATGGATGAACAATTTTAGAAAACAACATCCAGATTTTCCTTAGAACACCTGAAGAGGTGTTCTAAGGAAATATGGATGTTGTCTAGGGCAACATTTAATGCCCATAATGTTGCTATATTTTTTGATAAATTAAAAGAAGTTCTTGCAAGATCACTAACATTTGCAAATGGAACACAGATTTTTAACCTTGATGAAACTTAAACTGTTACTGTGCAGAACCCACAAAAAGTATGGTCAATAAATATATAATATATCAATAAATAATAATTTTAATAAAATGTTTTTTTATTAGTTTGATTTTTTATTTTATAAAACTACTTGATTTTAAGGTTTTTGCAAATAAAGGAGTTTAAAGTGTCTGCAAAGTTACAATTGCTGAAAAAGGAACCCTTATCACAACTTGCGTAATAATCATTGCTTCTGGACAATATCTTCCACCAGTACTTATTTTTCCATGAGTGCAATCCAAAGAGCATATGTTGTCAGGAGTTTCTTCTGGATCTCTTGAACTCACATATAAAACAGGCTGGATGAGCAGCTTTTTGGATGTTATGAACCACTTTATAAGATTTTTATCTATTGCAGAAGAAAGTCCATCATTATTAATCTACGACAACTGTGAAGCTCACTTGTCCATAGCAGTATTAAATAAAGCAAAGGAGCATGGAGGGACCATTTTGAAATTACCAACTCATTCTGCACACAAGTTACACCCACTTGATGTAGGTATTATGGAAGCATTTTAAACTGCATATAGTTTAGCAAATAATTCATGGATGGTCCACAATCCTGGAAAAACATTTACAGTTTACCAAGCAGTAGCATGTGCAGGGCCCGGTTTTTAAAAAGCCATAACACCTCCAAACATTATAGTTGCAATTAAAAAAACAGATATAGTTTTTAATGACAGGAATGTTTACAAATATTGAATTTATGTGCAGTTCTGTGACAAACAGACCTTTTGATGTTAAACATAGTTGTACAAAAAATAACATAAACATTACATGAGAATTTAGCTTATCCATATCTTTCAACAATTAAAAACTCTACTGATTCTAATACTAAAGTTTTTAACATACTGCTAAATATCTCTGCTTCTTTTTGATTCAAATAAACCAGTCAATACTAATGTTGCCATGGTTGATATGTCTACATCATCTTTAGGTTATTTTATCAGCCCTAAACAATTCAGAGGCTTCCTTAAAGCTGGAATTGTAAAAAAAAAAAAAAAAAAAAAAAAAAAAAAAAAAGACGGATTGATCTATGACTGCCACAGATTCCTAAGAGATCAGATTGAGAAAAGATCATGCAATAAAAATTGTATACATTATATTAGCAAGAATTGTAATGCAATTATATTGCAGTAGTTTTTGTTGTTGTTGTTAAGACATTAGTAAAACAGAATGTGAACAAACTATTTTTCTTGTAGTATATGTACATTTTATTTATTTCATTAGTTAAGTTTACAACAATGTTAAAATTCATTTTTACATTATTACTTAGTTGCTAGGCTTAGTGGTAAAGAATTAGTTCTTTACCCAACTTTCATTTAATCAGTTTAAGACAATACCTAACTTTAATTTTCAGGTAAATAAAGCTAATAATTTAAGCTTCTTATCCTATTTTTTTTTCACTTTAGGTTTCTTTGTTATAACCATTTAAAAAAAAAGAGGCTCACTCATGCCTATCCTCCCCTACCAAGTTTCTAAAACCCTTATGATAAATTTATTTTTAAAATTAAACAAAAGCAAAACAAAATAAATACTTCAACTATGATTTTGGAATTGATACAAAACAAAGTTTGTTTTGTATCAAACTTGAAGTTTTTAACTTCAAGTTTGACAAAATTGAAGTTTTCAACATCAAGTTTGACAAAACTAAAGTTGACAACCATTTAGATTGCTGGCGATCTTGTAAATATATTCATCTTTAAAATATAACAAGCTACTTACACCATAAGAACAATTTAGATCAAGCTAATTAAATCATTAGAACAGTTTTACTGATTTCTTATACATGTATTTCATTTTACGTAAGATACACACTAATCTGTTATGTACATAATAAAGTGTAATAGTTACATAATGTAACAATCTTTACTCACATCTTTCTTTGACTCTGGTTTGTAGTTTGATCGATCATTCTATATTTATAAAGTATAATAAAAAATACAAATTCAGGTTTTAAATCTTTGAAATTAAAAAATTATCAAACATTACATTTTTTATTAAAAATAAAAAATTGTAGAAATTTAAAATATTTTTTTTTTTTTAATTTTTAATTGATGATTGAAGATATCAATCAATAAATAATTTACTTCATGTAAATCACCAATATAATAGCTTGCAAGTAAATCCCTTGCATCACTAGAATGTCCCACATCTTCAAAATTAGATGTTGCATCTTTTCCTAAAATTTAAAAAACTCAAGTTTATTAATTTGTATTTTCTTAATTATTATTACAAAAACTTGAAAAAAAAAAAAAGCATTCTTAAAAAACAGAAAAAACATTCTGAAACAAAGAAATATGCTTTTTTTAAGTTTTTAAAAATGCACCAAAAAATTAAAAACATTTATTAAAAAGAATACAAAAATAATAATAAAACTAAAAATCATAAAATTACCAGCCAATTCTAGTAGAACTTCTTCTCCTCCTGGATGCTATATACATCGAAAATTAATTACAAAATGTAACCGCAATATGTAATTGAGAGACATAACATGTAAACAAGTAATAGAGACATAACATGTAAATGAGAGACATAACATGTAAACAAGTAAAGACATAACATGTAAACATGTAAATAAAACAATAAATATCATAATATCTAGTTGAGAATATATAAATTGTAATTGCAAATGCACAGTGTAAGCTTGTAGTTTATTTTAAAAGATAGAACATGAACTTTGATAAGATAAAAAAATAATATCAAGTTGTGTTTATACAATAATTTTGTATGCAAATAATCCAGCAATAATTTTGGGATTAAAAAATAGTGTTATATTACACTACCCCTTTTTCCCCTTTCCACAATAAAAAAAAAATCATTAACTGACAAAAGAGTTGCTAAATGTGCTGTGCAAAATAAAAACTGAGCAATTCTACCACCAACTTTAGGTGTCAAATATAAGACAGATACAATAATCAGGGTTGGACTGGCATTAAGGGACGGGGGTGGGGGGAGTTTTTCAAAAGCATATCATCTTGGGTTTCACATTTAGGTGGTGGCAGCAGACAATTTCAAAAAAAGTTGTTTTTAGAATCACCCTAGTCTAGCTATGTTGATTTAGATCATGATTCCTATTTAATTTCTTCGGAATTAAAACATTGATTCTTTGCAAAAGATATTACAACTAACAGGACAACCCTTTGTAACCCAGCTGGAAATGGACAAGCTGAATAATATAATGGAACTATTTGGATTCAATATTAAATCTTAAAATCTACTAATATCATCCTGGAAAAGAGTTTTAATGGATGCACTTTATGCTACAAGATCTTTACTATTTATCTCTACTAATTTTTATCCACACAGTTTTTTTTTCAACTTTAAGGAAGATCATCATCAGGTTAATTAAATTCCTTCATGGTCAACTATTAATCAACCAATTATTAATTATTAATATATTAATCAAGGACCTGTATTAATGAATAAAAATATGCTCCAAAAAAAATATGAGGATTCTGTAAAGGAGGTTTAGCTCTTTGAAGGAATTGATTTTATATTAAACAATTTGATCATATTGGATATATATATATATATATATATATATATATATATATATATATACACAGAGCCTATTCTAGGAAAAAAATTTGGGTGGCGATACCCCTTCGTTTCGGCAGACTTTAGCATTAAATCAGCAATTTTTTTGCGAAAAATAATAATATTTGCCAAAAAACATTAAAAAAAACATAAAAAAAAAAAAAAGGTTCTCAAATTTTAATTTGGGGGGCACCCGAATATAGTCGACGCTGTCAAAAACGGTCTAGAATAGCCCTTGATGTATATATATATATATATATATATATATATATATATATATATATATATATATATATATATATATATATATATATATATATATATATATATATATATATATATATATATATATATATTAGGGCAATTCCATTTGTACCATTTAAAATTGGTATAGATGTGGAAAATTTTGTAACAAAAACTTAGAATAATGGTGTAACTTTTTTTTAACTAAAATGTTTAATTGATTAGGGCGAGGTATTTTAAATATTTTTTTATAAAAAAAATAAATTACAAGTTTAACTAATTATGTTTATAGCGTACTGTATGGAACAGTAAAACAATAAACTTCTATGCAATTGATGTAAACAAACCACTATAATGATAGTAATTTTTTTTTTTTAATAAAAAAAAAGTTATATTTTGTTATATATTGCCAACAATTTTTGTTCCAGTCAATATATATATATATATATATATATATATATATATATATATATATATATATATATATATATATATATATATATATTAATTTATAAAAGTAATATTATAATTATATCATATACATTTTTTTATTATAGTTAATAATTTTATTTTTAATTATAATATTAAAAATAATAATCTACAATTTCTACAATTTGCATTAAGTGCATTGATGTAACTGTAACTAAATAAGAAATAAAATATTGTATCTTAAAATATGTAACTGAGTCTTGTTTTCAAATAGATAGTAAATAAAATGGGAAAAGTGGCTCAAAAGTAGAACTCGCAGCACAAGTTTGCCAATACCTAACTACTAAAAAATAAATAACTACCAAATGATCTTCTTTATAGTGACCTTCACACATTTATAGTTATACAGCTCAGCTATAAACAACTCATTGCCAAAAAAATAACTGATCAACAAATTGTTTCTCAAATAAGCTTTAAACTTGTTGGACTACGGAGAAAAGTGAACTCTAAACTCCCCTTGATTCACGAGAGAAGTATACAGAAAAAACTTGAATTACTTTTAAAAAAAGTTTTGTGTGGTGAACATAAAAAATCAAAAGGGAACAAATCCAGCATTGTTTATTTGGAGAAGAATTTTGATTCATTGTTTGATTTGTCTGCTTGTAATTGTGAACTACCTGTTGGTAATTGTGATGACAGGTATAATAAGAACTTCTCCATTAAGTTTTAAATTTAAATAATATTTTTATTAACTTACTTTAAATTTAAATGTCCAGTTTGTTCATCGGTGTCAGAAAATTCCATACATGAACTCCCTATAATAGTTTTTTTTACAATAATGTCCAAAATTCAGTCATTTGTGGATAAGCGTGTTGTTTTTGATTTAAGTAATGATAAAAGAAAATTATATGAATACACCTTTGGTATATCTACAGGTAAAGTTTCAAAAAAATATGCAATTACAAAACCTGGACCTGTGAACCATGCAAGGTGGTTGACACTTGCATTACAGATTATGTATAAGTATACTAGAGAAACAAATCCATCGGCAGAGTTGGTTATGATAACGAAGTTTATAGTCCAAGTATATTCTTCATCTTAGTTTGAGAAAGTAAATTGTGACAAAGCCATAGATTGAATACTAACCATTAGGAAGCTAAATGAGGAAAATAAAGAATTTGTTTCTAAGCTTAAGCCCAAAACAATAATGACAATTGATTTTGATTGTAACTGCTGGATTGATCGTGTTCAAATATGCCAACATGAAGTGGAACCTCCTCCTACAATTTATTTTTCATCTGTTGAACTGATAAACGCAAAAATCTGGAGAGGTTTTAAGGCTTACATTTCTTCCAAACAACTCTCAGTTAGTTGAACATGCAGTCAAGTCAGTAACCGAAGCATCAAAACTGGTTTATGGTCTTAAAAAAACTTTATTCTTACTAAAAATCAGAGTAGGAAAGAAAATCATAGAAATGTTACCAAAAGCAATTATTTTGTTCCAAGCATTAAAAAAAAAAACTGTTTAATGTAACTCTTGTAATATTAATTGTAATAAGAACAATTTGTTTATTTGAACTTTATTTACATGAATTTATAAAATTAAATTTATATTAGTTTTCCAAGGTTTAGGTATTAGAAAATGAACTGATTCCTTTTTTTTTTTAACGAAAATAAAAGGATTAAAAAATAAAATCACTTTTAAGCCTCGCTTTCTTGTTTGATTGGCGACCCTAATATTTACAAATTTTCTATATCAGTTAAGAACCATATTTTTTTACGTAACTTTTCTTTGGCACCCTTTGGACATCTGCTGACTGGGAGAAACTGTCATGGCACTAGTCATGCCAATGATATTGATCATTATTATTTTTGTTCAACTTCTGTTTTGCTTTTACTATATCATTGTCTTAAATACTTCAAATTGTTAATTTATGACTAGCATGTTCAGCGCCCCCTACCACTAGGGTGCATCACAAAAAAATTTTTTTTAATATTGATCTGTCTATTATCTCAAGTTGTTCCAATCACCAAAAGATGCAATGTGTTAAAAAATAAATTTTATTAGACAATATTTAGAGGTCCCCCATGCCCTAACAAGTTTCACCTTATTTACCAAAATTAAGTGCTAAATATTTTTTTAATAATTATTAGCTTTGTCTTTATATTTATGTTCTTTGGCTACCATGATTGAAAATGTAATTTTATAAACATAGTCAAGTCTGCTCAAAAAATCAAAATAAAATTTAATTATATATTAGTTAACCCAGTCCAGTGACAATTGGTAAATTTACAATTCCATTAAATATATTAATTTCTGCATTATTTTGTGTATATACATATTACATGCAGTAAATTAGTAATTCATTGTTTATGAAGATACTATAATTGTATAATGTATACTGTATATATATATATAGTTAAACCTATGAGACATGTTAGGCATTACCTAAGCAATGTGAAATATCTGTAATGTTGTGCAATCCAATAAATAATAATTCAAATAATATTCCAAAAAATGAATAATAAATTACACAAAATATTCAAATAATTTGCTAATTTGATAAACCAAGTTCATAACTTAATAACAACAGTTACAACACTATTCTCTTTTTTTAGAACCCTAATTCCTTAAAAAACATGAATGAAGCAGTTGAAGCTGAAGTTGAGCCAACAACACCTAAGCAGCCCAAATTCGACGATAATTCGTCATCATCTGGTAGTGCAAGTCGCCGAAATACTCCTATCTTGGACTCAAAAAAGAAGCCATAGACTCGTAGAGCTACAGAGTTGTTTGGTATAGGTGCTGCAATCTGTGCTGATGATGCACTAATCACTGGTATCCGATTGCCAACCTGCTTGCAAGTTTTGAGATACATGATGTATCACAGTAAAGAGGCTACCCATGGTAAGCGACCAGGATCACCCGGTGCAACATCAAGATTCACATCTGCCAAGATAGTTCTGAAACAGGTTAAAGCTTTGTATGAAAAAGCCAACATCCCAATGGTCACCGAGCGTAGAGCATGCGAAAAAATAGTGAAACTTCTTGATGATAACAATAAACTTCGTTTGATCGATAAAAGTCGCCGTGAAACACCTGCAACTCAGCACAAGCTTCTTGAGATGCAGTCCATGTTGGCAACAACTTTCCAACTCTGGCCGACCAACGTGGATAGTCTTATGAACAATGATGAAGATCTTGCATTCCTGCAGTCAATG